ATAATCATGCGTTATTGATTGTTGGTGGTTTTCCCTGTTAAAAAAAGGTGTAAACGTGGTCAATTTTACTGTTGGTCATCAGTTACAGTGCAAAAAAAAAGCTTAGTTTCTGGCTTTTATATGGAGTATTGTGTGTGCAAGAGTGAGAGTGTGTAAGAGATTTTACCTCTTCCCAAAAGGGAAACCACCAACAATCAAGAATGCATGATTATATGGTGTCAAGGCTTTGCAAATTAAATAAATGGTGTTATAATGAAAGAAAATGGAGCAAAAACAACCACTAACATAATGAAGGGGAGTCAATTCGAACAATACACAAAGGTTAAAAGAGGGAACAAACCAACTGGATGAATCGCTTTTCTAAGGCAAATTTTTGACTATAAACATTTAAATAAATCATCTGGACTAAGCAATTGAATGAAACGCATGTTTTAATTGGGTATCATTGACTACCAAAGTTCAGTTTGCTAAAATTGTGTAATTTTTAGTGTTAAAAAACATTTAACACTACTAACCCGAATACACACATTAATTCTTTTCAGTAATTATTGGAACAATTCATGACCCATATGCAAATACAAATGTACAGATTTCTAGCTTTTTAACATATTTGGAAGGTGTTGTTGAACTTAAGTTAACTTTGTATCTCGTTACAGTATTCACATCAAGAGAAGAGGATTTGGCCCAGGTAAACACTGCTGAGTTTTGCGGTTGGGAAGCTCACACACGTGGCATTGGCTCAAAGCTCTTAATGAAAATGGGTTATGAGCTTGGTAAAGGTAGGTGGACATTATCAGACATCAGTCTAAAACCATTGAAACAAAATGTCTGTCTTGTGCAAATATACAGGGTGCCCACAATGTCTTAAGGGTGCTGTATGTAAGTTTTCTTCTAGAGCATACTTCTAGAGCATAAAAATACCATGTGTTTGCAGATATTTAAGAAACATGCTAAGTGAACATTCTTGTTTATCTGACAAACAATGCTGATGTCAGTTGTCCTGCTTTGAAAATGTGTGTTATGTGACCGAATGGTTGTCTTTGTTTTGGTTCTTATAACCTGCCACTTTAGACAATTCAATTTTAGCACCCCAAGTTGCCTTGGTTGAAAACCATGCATTTCATTTATTCATTCAGAAAGGCTTTCAAAGCATGGGTCCGTGACTGAAATGCGACCTCCGGTGGACAGTAGCAGACTCTGAAATTAGACGTAGAGTTCCACATAAGGTGGTTATTAATTAGCAAATAATATGAATATTACGAATGTTACCATTAGTTGAGCAATTTACATTGTAACCCTGTGTCCTAACAACACGCTACATGAGGAGTTTTGCAGTAAAAAGCGATTTGGCTGTTTGCACCAGACGAAACGCAACAGAAGTTTAAATATAGCCATTTAGATGCACAGAAAATGCACAAAGTAAGGTGTATGATATAATTAATACACAATAACCCTCTTTAATTATACATTATTAAATGTAAATGCTGAATTACTGTGTGTTGATTTGCATTATTTCAGTTCTAAAGTTCAATTATAAACTGTTTATTTTATTTTCAAGATTTAAGGTAAGCTGTCTGCTGCTGCTGATTTCAGCAGTCTGGCAATAAAAGTAATGTAAAATGGCATTCAAACTCACATTATTAGCATTTAACACTGAATAAAGCACATGAGGTGTACTGTCATAGTTCTGTTGTTCAGCTACAATAAATAAAAGTCATTTCTAAAATATATATTTCAGGTGTGGGTTAGAACAAAAACTCCTTTTAGTGTGGAAAATATTCCTGCTTTTATTTAGAACACTACTTAAATAAGCCTTTAGGCTCGATTGTCAATCTCTATCTGGCAACCAGGGGTCCGTTCTTCGTACCTCGCTTAAATGATCTAAGATTATTTGGCAGATCCTGGATCTTTTAATCTTGTTCTTCAAACAAGTTTGCGAATCAGATTAGAATGTCTGGATGAACTGATCTGAGATCGCTGCGTGTCTTATGAAGGACAGATCTATCGATCCTCGAAATCATGATCAGCAATGCAACGATTGGCTGACGGCACAGCAGCGTAATGACATCATCTGATTAATATTCAATTATCCATGTGAGCAAAATTACATCAAATTAGCAGTAAACGGTTTGTTCAATATGACACGCAAGAACTTTACACATTTGTTGTGAGCTGCAGGCTTTACTCTTTCATTTGTCAAGACAAGAGTATTCATCATGTATTTCAATGCAAATCAATGTATTTAGTTCTACATTTAGAGAAGATTTTCTTTATTATAGTAGCCGTTTTTTAATCGGTGTAAAGAATAACTGGTTGTTTACAAAAGCATTTTCATATTGGTAAAGGTGTCTGCAACTTTTGTGAAGCATCAAATCACTGGCATATTAACTATCAAAATATGTTTATGACTGCATAAATGTATTATTGCTTTAAAAAAAGTCACATATTGTGTATTTCTATTATACACAATTTGTACTAAAGCGATCTAAAAAGTTCATATCAATAAGTTTTCTCTTTGCACCAGATGGCAGTCTTTGTACTTTCATTTCGAGGGTGCAGATTGCATAAGTTTTATTAATATGTATAACTTTATTTATTTTATTAATGACTATAACTTTATATATATAGTTAAAAAATATGTACCATTTTCCCAAGTGTATATAACTACTACTGTAAGAAAGTATCAGAATTCGGAACAAACTTTCTGTATTATCTTTGCTTGAACTGAGCCGATCTAATCCTGTTTATATGAATTGAACCTGCTTCCGATCAGGTTTGACCTAGTAGAACTGTTGCCATGACAACAACTCTCGGATCAGCTTTGAAGAACGAAACGATCCTGGATCGTGTCAAATCGTCAACATCCAAATCCAGCTAACTGAGTAATCCACGTACGAAGAACGGACCCCTGCTCTTGCGTGTTTTGATCCAGGAATGCAATACCTAGTTCAACCACTGCACCTTTATTTACATACTGCACCTCTAAAGCATTAAAAGTTGATGAATCAATTGACAGAAATTTAAGGCCCTTAAAAAGTCTTAAATGTTGTTTTACAAGGTATTACTTTATTTTATCATTTTTATTTTGTACCATTTCTAAAGTTTGCCTGAATTTAATCTTGCGAATATTGGGATGCTGTGAAGTTTGTGAAATCTAAAACTTCATGCTAGATTTGGGTTAGATTTCCTGCCTTTTTATAGGCGGCACCTGCTGGAAGTGAGATGTAGCATTTGTTTTCAGTATATGAAGGTTTCAGTTTAGGAGAAGGTATGTTTATGTAGCATCATTTCAAAAACAGATTATGTGTATACATCATAGAATTTTAATTAAACAATCAATTTTAAAACCCTTCTGCCCACTCTAAAGCATATTGAATCTTTGTAATCACAGTCAGAATTGCATTCATAAGGAGTTCTCACAAGCTAAGAGTTTTAGTGTTGCTTTCTTACAATCTTTCAGTAAATGTACTGTAATTAAAATGTGAATGTTATTGGTTAGAATCTAAAGTGGTGATAAGATCTTAAAATGTATGGAAAGAGTCTTTAAAGATATTGAATTTCTCTCTTATGTTTTCTGTATATACTCTGATGTTGTTTCTGTCTTTGGACAGGCTTGGGAAAAACTCTCTCTGGTCGTGTCGAGCCAGTTCAGGCAGTGGTTCTTCCCAAAGGCCACTCATTGGATATATGCGCGGAACTTACTCAGAGAAAAACTGCAGCTGCTATTGCCAAGAATAACCCGACCTCACATAAAAGAAAGGCTAAAAAGAAGAAAGCGTCCACATCCACACGCCACAATGTTTTTGACTTTCTAAACTCTAAGCTCGGTGATAGAGCTCAGTCTGCGTCTCATTCCTCAAGCTCATTGGTCACTGGTGCAGAGGCCTATAGGGGTGGAAAAAGCACCAAACGGTCCCTTAATGTTCGTCTGTTTGAGGCCGCGGAGAAAGTCACTCAAGTTGAAAGAGAGATCCAGCAACTTACTAAGTCTCTCAGTAAACGGAACGGAAGGTATGCTTTTTTCAGTCTCTATAGCTACCTGGCCAGATTTTTTTTTTTTGTGTTTTTTAATTTTTGTATTACCCACTCTTTTTGCTATATCTGTGATGCAAGAGCAGCAAAGGGTAAGTTCACGACAATGAATTGATCTAAGAATTTAGTATTGTGGCAGTGTAAAGTCCGTCAACAGAAATGGCTTGAAACAAATAAACTTGACCTGCTACAGTAACGTGACTTAATGAACTGTAATGCAGTGGATTATAACAAAAAAGAAAACATACTTTTTTGTCAACAATATTGTACTGTTCATTCATTAAATGAGCAAAACAGAGCGCACACTTTTAGTTTTAAGTCATGATACTACTTCTCAAGTGTCTGTTTCTTCCAAGCCATCAACAACAAACATTTTTCAGCCTTTTTTTCTTTGACGAAATAAACACTGTAGTTTAGCCAATTGTTTACATAACCATTTTGGATCAATAATAAATCCATAAAAAAAAAAGCTGACATTTTTAGTAAATTCTATCATCAAAAATTAAATTAGCGAAAACAGTAACTTTTCTGGTAAGTTTTTCTTTATTTTGATGTAAATATGGCAAAATGCATGGAATTTACCATCAATCTGTTTTGAAGCTGTTGTTAATAGTTTTGAAATGAGTTTGTTGTGTTACGAATTGGGAGGGGTTAAGCCAAAATACATGACAGTAAACCTAACTAACTAAATTAGAGCAAACTTCCCTAAAAAATAAATAAGAAAACTAAAATACTGAAAACAGCACAGGAGAAAAGGCAACTAATAAACAAAAGGCACCAAACCTACCATGCTCCAAGTCAGACAGGGAGATAGAAAACTGGGTTTCTCCAGTTAGAATGTATAATTACACATATTCATCTCACAAGACGTCAGCGAAAATCACCAATTTTCATCGTTCAAATAACATCTCCACAAAGAACAACGAGTGGGCATTCAAGAGAGAGCGGGAAGCTGCCAAATTAATGTTTTCTGCGGTTTTAAATACGGCTGCCGTCAATCCAAGCACCAATCACGCTTTGAGCGAGAATGGTTGTTAGTGGTTGAAAAAACGGTATTAGCTTTCAGAAAGTTAAGATTTTCTTAATTTAAAAAATAGAATTTAGTTGATTTAAATAGTGGTCTCAAACTCAATTCCTGGAGTGCGGCAGCTCTGCATAATTTAGTTCCAACCACCTCCAGCTCACACCACCTTAATAGTCTCTAGTAGTCTTGAACACCTTGATTAGTTGGATCAGCTGTATTTGATTAGGTTTGGAGCAGTCTCTGCTAATGAGCTCATGATCGAGAGTGATTATAGCACCTCCTGATGGTGAATGCTGTTATTCTCACGGCAGTTATTATTTGATAATTCAAATGTTTTTTTCACTGATTTCGCGACCGTCACATATCATTAGGGAAACGGTTTGAATTTCCACTTGGTAAATAACATTAGTGTGCCATTTGGGGCGACACTACATACATACATATACTATCCTTTTGAGTGTGTAAATGTATAAGTACATAGTGCATGAGTGTATAGTGTGCCATTTGGGACGCAGCTAAGCACTGCATTCCAATACTTATACTAAGCCCTAAAAGTATGTACTTTTTGTAAAGGAAAAGTATATACTTATGAGTGTGTAACAGTAGAGTATGCAAGCTTTGGGACATACTATTACCTCATTAACAGATCAATATGTTGCTTAGTTATGAGCCCTGTCAATCATCCACACATCATCCACATTTCCTTCATATTTAATTTCCTGCCTTATTGGAGAAGCAGCAGTTTGTATTTTCCAGTGGATATTAATTAACAGTCATACAAACATCTTTACCGAAGTCTTGACGGTTTACTTGATGGTTGGTCTCGCACGTCCACCATGTTTGTAGTCTATTTATACTTTTCACCCACGTTTACAGTTCTGATTTAATTCACGCTCAACGCGCAATGTATTTTGGGCAATATTAGCGGTTACATTGTGGACACTTCTACACTTCTTCGAATTTTTACCGGAAGTAGTAAACCATCTGGGAACCTTTGGCATACTATTTTCAACATACTTTGATTTGGGATGTACTAATTCTATTTTCAAATACTATTTAGGATGGATAGTATGCAAATTGGGACGCAGCAAAGGAAAATCTGGTGGTCCTCCAGAAATGTAGTTGAGAAACACTAACTTAAAGGGATCTTTATACAAAGCTGAAAAATCACCCTTCACTTGATCCGAACCTTGGCTGTGTCCAAACCGCCTACTACTCTGTAGGTACTGCATCTTAATTTAAATTTATTACCCGACCATTAAAAATAGTACGTTCTATATAGTATGAATGGGAGTTATATAAATGGAATTCGGACATTTTGTCATTGCCATTTTGTCATGATCTCGTGACCTATCCATGTCAGTTGCGTTGCTTTACTCCCATTCATGAATTCTCTCGCAGTGCATCAGGGAATAGCGTAGCATATGTTGGATGCACACTTCAGAATTTTGCCGCAAGTAATAGGTCATCTGGGTACTTCTCACATATTATTTACTCTACTTTAAGTGAACCAAGTGAACCAAGCTGCATGGTTGCTTTTAATTCATAATTCACAACATTCACTCATGTTTTTTCTTTTTCTGTCCCCAGGGATGCTGCTGTGGTCAGTCGCCTAGAGGAGAAACTCGCAGCCTCCCGCAAGTTACTGGAGCAGCTAAAGGCTCAAGAGCAGGCCATCCAGAGAGAGCAGAAGAAGGCAGACACTCATAAGAAAATGACCGAATTCTGACACATCTGCTGTTTTTTATACCATTATTAGGGATTTTTCATTTTAGTGTTAAAACATTATTATGAGTTTGGTATGTATTAAAAAAATGGATGTACTATAAAATCTATGATATTCAAATTCTTACCATTCTTTTTGATTTAATGTGTATTTCAAGGGTTCAGGTTATTTGGATTAATGAGGACAGAAAAACATTTTGCAGCTGTTGTTTGGGATTGTTTTGTTTTACAAATTACAATATACACACGGACTCAATAGTTTTTCATATATAGATGCATAAATAACCTCTTAATACAGGGGTGCACACACTCAGTTCTGGAGGGCCAGTGTCCTGGAGAGTATAGCGCAGGGATGTCGAATGTGTGGCCCACTTGCCGGATCAGGCCCATAAAAGGGTTTATCTGGCCCGCGAGATAATTCTGTAAAGTATGAAAATGAGCTTCAAATTTTCAATAAAAGAAACTGCTGGTCCAATCGTGTCCACTGGATGCAAAAGCAATTTCAAACTGTTCATTTTAACTGTTAATCAGCATCAGTTTCACAGCCTTTTCAGAGAGAAAGACCGCATTCCCTGGCAAACCTCGCTGAGGTGTTCTCATGAGGAAATGTAACTGTTTTACATTTTGTCAGTTTAGTGGCTAATTCATACAAGTTCAGTTGTTTGAAAATGTATGATTTTAATAAGGAGGCATGGCACCCAACCACACCCCTAAACCTAACCGCCATTGGTGAATGAGCAAATCCTACTAAATTGTGCAAATGAGATAGTACAAATTTTATTTGAATTAGCCATTAAATCAAAAAGTTACAAAGTGCTGTGAGATTGTGTTTTCCTCAGGCTCCAGCTTTATGTTTTATGTTGATCTATTAAAACGATCAAAACAATCTGAAGTTGTTGTTTTTAAGTTATTTATGATTTTACCGATCTCACTTGGAAATAGATATTCCTTCATGTGGCCCCTGAGCTAAAATTAGTTTGACACACCTGGTTTAGCTCCAACCCTAATCAAACACACCTGAACCAGCCAATCAAGCTATTACTAGATACACTAGAAACTTCCTGGCTGGTTGAAGCAAGTTAAACTCTCCAGGACCGAGTTTGGACACCCCTGACTAAATATATACAAATAATTAGGTTGTAAGATGCTCAAAAATGCATACACATTTATGAATTATATTTATGAGATTTATAAGTTTAGACACAAACTGCAGGAATTTCTTTTCTTTCACAGACAGCCAATTACATATTTAGCCTTGATTAAATCGTCACCTTAGAATTATAAGGTTCTATTTGACATTTTTGTCAAAATTGAGTTATTGACATTCTTATTAAATGACAACTTATTTACATTATGGAATGTTTTTTATAAGTTGTTTACATTTTTAGACTTTTTATTTAAAAAGCAAATGTTGCACACACACTTTTTTTTCTATGGGATGCAAAAACTTTAAAGCTCAATATCTCAAAATCATTCAGGAAGCAGATAGATACAATTCCAGGGAGACTAAATATTTAGCCACAAAAATTAAAAGGCTGAATGTGCCATACATGGCTTGGAATTTGGATATCTTTTTACTAATGATTTTACTTATTTCTAGGATTAAAAAAGTTTATGATTTTAATTATCACAGTAATTTTTTAACAAAATAAGATAAAAAGGATGCCAGTGAATACAAAAGTCACAAAAAAACCTAATATAAAAACAGGAAAAGAAATGATGACAACAAAGTCCAGCTATGATTATGAGTACGATCATACGTTTTATGAAAATACATCTGAGATGGTCAGAGGTATATTAGAGCCACCCATATTGTTTGAGAAACTTCAACTTCAATCTGTAAGTTGTTTGAATTTTAAAAGCATTGAATATATTTCAGCAAAATGCATTTTTCCCTTTATGGATGCAAGTTTGTGAGTCTTGCTCAATTCCATAGGTATAGTGTTGGTGTCCATTGGAATTTCCAAAACATTGTCTGTGAAGTCCTGTATTGTGTTTTTTTCAGAAATATTTAGCAATTTATTTTTCCAGAAAGTGTGCATGACTGATCCCAGGCCGGTTTTACATTAGTGACATCTGGATGCTACATTACGATATTGTGATTTGCTTAGATGAAGTGGGGTCAGATAATTTTAAGGACTTTTGCCCACCTTTTTTAGTCCCACATACAATGCAATAAAGTGTGATTGCATTTAATTACATTTTTTACACACGTCAGGACATTGATACAACATACAAGTTAAGTTAAACTACTGAATGCAAAAGCTAAGCAAAAGGACAAACACTCTTAAATTCTGGAGAATGTAAATTTATCAGATAATGTCAGTTTTTGAGGGAATTGGTCATTGAGTAACTTAACTGTGGTTTTATTATAAATAAAAACAAGTAATCACGTATTCATCATGTTTTTGTGGTAAAGCTGTGGGTAATTATTACGACAAACTTTAATATCGCATTTTTAGGTTACCAAACCATGGGTGAAAATTAACAGTAATTGTCATGGGTGTAGCGACTCTGTAGGACATTATTTTGACTTTTAACCAACGTTGGTATGTCATATATCCAGTAAAATTACTTTAAAAAAATGGCATTACAATCTAAAAAAATAAATGCAAAAATAACGTTTCACTTCCCCTAAAACGTAACGCAGCATTTAGATAATTTACATTACAGTAAATTACAGTATATTACTTTTAAACGTAACTTTAAACTTATACACTTATATCTGACTACCGAAGAATGATCGAGAGAGAAACCCATCTTGAAGTTTGTGGCTGTTCCCATGGCAACAGGAAGCGCCTACGTACTCACAACTGAGATTTCATCCCAGGTAGTACAAATTTCCTTAACCTACAGTTTTTATTTTTTTAAATTACTTATGTTAAATGTATATGTTTACCTTACTCAACCTAGCTGTGCTGTTTTAATTTTGTTGAACTTGGTCTACTAAAAACTTTGCAATAGTTTCTTGTTCATTGTATCCAAGCAACATGTGTCGGTGTAACGTAAAGCACTAACCTAAACTGACAAACGAAGATATTTCTCCTCAAGACATTTTTAGTTTAGCTATCTGTATAATTTTAATTTCCTCCGTTTTAAAGTTATCTCTCTTTTGTCTCGTGATTCGAGTTTTCTATAAATTTCTGTAAACCGCAATTCTGTTATTGTTGTCAGCGAGCTGTTTTAGCATGTAGCCTAGTCTTTGAAATGTTACGTACATAGTACTGATCAGGATTTTTTGTAGTCATTAAAAATTAGGGCACTTTCTATTGGGGACCAGAGGTCTACATAATATAAAGCTGCTACTGTATACTACTGCTTATTCATAATTTCCTAATAAACAGATATAATTTATTCATTCATTTTCTTTTCGGCTTAACGTTAGTCCCTTTATTTATCCGGGGTCGCCACAGCAGAATGAACCGCCAACTTATCCAGCACGTTTTTACACAGTGGATGCTCTTCCAGCCACAACCCTGGTAAACATGGTAAACACACACACACACACACACACACACACACACACACACACACACACACACACACACACACACACACTCATTCACACTCATACTACAGACAATTTAGCCCAGTTCACCTGTACCACATGTCTTTGGACTGTGGGGGAAACCGAGCACCCAGAGGAAACCCACGTGAACGAAGGGAGAACATGCAAACTCCACACAAAAACGCCAACTGACCCAGCTAAGTCTCGAACCAGCGACCTTCTTGCTGTGAAGCGACAGCACCTACTGCGCCACTGCGTCGCCTAAACAGATATCATTACATATTATTAGAATGCACAGCCTATTACATTTAAGATTTTTACATATTAAATATATTCTAGTAAATTTTAATTATTAAGTAATAGTGCTTTTTAAAAATATTTTGTCCAGTGCCCATTTTCCTACCTTATTTATTAGACTTTTCAGTTGCTAGTTGTTTATTAGGTACTTATTTATTAGACACTAGTATTTTCTGTAATTTGTATCTTCATAGTCAAAACTTTTTTTGTTTTGTTTTACTTTTATTATATTATGACAAGGCAGAATGGCCACAGTAGATTTTAATGAAACATTTTACTAGTAAAAAAAATAAAAATATGGCTAGTAAAATTTTGAGTTGTACTACTAGTATCTCATAAATGTGTGTGTTATTACCTTTTGAATAAGTACTATAGCTACTCAGTGCCCTCAGGCTTACAAAGACAGTGCTTTTATAGTAGTTAGATCAGGGCTACTCAATAGGCGGCCTGCGGGCCGAACCCGGCCCCCAAGGCAGTTTGATCCGGCCCTCCAAATAATGTGACATCAAAAATAAATTTAGTTCAGTCGAAAAACGGCCTCTATAGTTATGAAATAACGTGCATCTGTTCAATACAGCATGAGCTGCAGAGGCTGCGCAGAGCGTGAGTCACCATAAGCGAGTGGTGCTGACAGCCGATAACATTTGGATATGTTTTGTAGAAAATGCCTTTTGCACAATGCACTGTAATCATTATTAGGGATGCAAAGATTAGCTGATTTCACTATTAACTGAGCTTTAATTTGTCACAGTTAATTGATTGTAAAAGTTTCTCTAAGCCGCATTTCTGTTGCACGGAAAAGTTATGACAAGTTGCCAACTGTGCGCTAGTTTAAAGTTTCAAGAATGTACACCGGGGCTAATATGTACGCACACCGGATTAACTATAGCAACGATCGTTGCCATATCATGTCTTTTCCGCTTGCAAGTTTGTTATTTCTAATTTAAGAATGACAATATGTGCGTACAAGCAGAGCAACGCGCTTGCCTCTTTCCGGGCGCATGCAGTAGAAAACGTCTCAGGGTGAGAGTTGTGCGTGGCTTCCAGTGCAATGTAAACAAAAGATATGTTTGACGAATTAGTATTAAAATGATTATATACGCATGAACCCAGATATAAAGCTTGTTGTTCTAAATTACATTAGACGTGATAAACGTGAAAGCATGATTATTCTTCAGACTATATCATACAACCAAAATTTATAATGTTGCATCACTAATTGTTATGCTGTTCAACACATAACATAAGAATGCGTCTAAATGTAGAAAAAGCCTACTTCAGCAATGCACTGCTTTTGTTGCACAGAATACAACATTTTGAATGTTTGTAAAAAAACAAAGTCGATTGGACAATGCAGTTGCTTTAAAATACAATATATTAACATTTTAATAGAGAAAAAAACAACAACGTGGGTGTCTTTATGAGCACAAATACAGCATATGGGCTCTTATATGTAGTAGTGTCATCACTCATATAGCAAGTCATATCTCTCCGGCTCTTTGTTTGGGATGCTTTTCATGAACCGGCCTCCATGCCAAACTAAATGAATAGCCCTGAGTTAGATCAATGCACCAGTAAATTAGCTATATGTAATGATAAAAAAAACATTGTTATTCTTTAGGTGAAAAATTAATCCATTTAAGTTAATCCATTAAAAAAAAATATATTAATCTCCAATTAAACTCTGACCATTTGCTTCCTCGTTCGGAGTTGTGGTCCTTCTCAGTTGATGTCAGTTTGATGGCTTTAGCCACAATATCCTTAACCAAGCCTCTTTTACCGTTAGTTTGCTATAAGTGAATAATGTGCAAAAAGAAATACCCACCCCATACTTATATGTTGTTTTAGTTGGAAGTACATCAGCATACTAAAATAAAAGTCTCAGCAACTTCTGGTTCACACAGACATTAACAAAAGAAACAAACACCAAATTTAAAAGCATACCCCTATGTTCTGTACTGGCAATGGGCTACATGCACTGTGTTATTTAGCCAATGATGAACTTCCGGTGAAAGCTTTATGTGACTATTTTAAATTTCACAAGAAAAACAGAAATTCCTTTAATATACTGCGGTAAATATATCTTCATATTTTAAAGACATGGCGCTGAAAAATATAATTTAATGCAGAGCTTCTTGTTTGGTCTGATACCCACTTTATATGTTTCTCAGCCAAGCAGTGAAGATTGCTGTTTAGAAATCAGATCTTAAACGCCACGATTTTGTATGGGATGACAATTCCCCGGAAGCCCTGAGGCTGGCTGATTAAAATTAAAAGTCTGTGTGCACATACCCCATTCCCACACAATACAAGATAGATGTGAACATCACAGAATTGTAGCTCTGGTAGGAACCTAGTGGTTTTTAAAGACTGATATGGGTGCTGTATATGGATCACAAGTGCCAGAAATACATTTTTTTTATATCTCTTTTTTTGTTCTGTTGACGTATGATTCAAATATTTGTTGCTAAAAACAGAATCACATCTGACCTACTTGCACTGTTTCTATAGAAATCACAGTGTGAGCTGCCATTACGGCCCATTGTTTTGCTTTCTAGTCTCCACACAGGTCACATGACTGAAACTATTAATTGTAAATGACTGTTAGCCTGAAATTGTGCAGAAAATTGAGCGCTTTTATATTTTACTTTTAATTGCACCTCTGCAAGATTAGGCAACACCTCATAGAAATCACTATCTAATTGCCTAATCCAAGCCATTTGTCCTATAAACCATAACTCTACCACACACCTATAGTAATTATAACCCTACCTATATGCTAACGAATGATTGGAGTAAAAATAGATTCTGGTATCTAGGCCCACACAGAATCTGCATGCGCAGAAATCTGCAGACTTCCTCAAATTTTTAGCCCTTCATTGAGTCTATATTTATTTGTATAAACATGTCAATTTATATTTATTCTGTTTTAAATTAATTTCAGTATTATTATTAAATTATATGAAAATGTTCAATTGATATATTTACAATACAGTTTGTAAAGTAATATTTTATCTTTTAGTAAAAACATTTTATGAGAGACTTGCTTTGTTTACCAAACAAGTGGATCTATTTGGATCTACGTTGTAAACATTAAATAAAAGTAAAAAAAAGTATTATTATTATTATTTTTAATATATATTTATATATATTTAATTTTTACATTTATGATACTTCCAAAATCATTTCGCACAAATCCGCAGAATGTTTTTTTTATTTATTTTTTTTTACAAAATTCTGTGCAGAAATAGCAAAAATGTCAGCAGATTCTGTCTGGCCCTACTAATGAGTAATAGTGTCTATTTATTAGGCACTTATATCTAAAAAACAAGTGCGAGTATCTTTTAAAAATGTAGCCTACTAGTACCTAAAGAATGAGAACTTGTAGCTAATGAGCAAGCGCTCAATGGAAAACATATTAGTATCGAAAAAAAAGTACTGGTAGGTTAAAAGATATAATATTTATATAGATTCAATATTTAATGGGCTTACCATATGATGTGTACTTATTAAATAGTCATACTACCTTACCAGGGTAACATGAAACGTTGGATATATTTTTTCTTTTAGAAAATGGGGTTGACGGAGGATCACATTGTAGTCAGTGCTATGTCAAACTGACTTTCAAGTCATGTCGTCACCCAAGAGAGATGCTCAAGGTAATGGCTTTACAGGACTGGCTATCACCCAGACTAAAGGAGGAAACAGACCTGCTTCTCAGCCTCGACTGCTGTCTCGTCAATCTCTGACTACCACACCAGCATTTAAAAGTGAACCATCACCTTTTCGCACACTCAGTTTAAGAACCTTGTCTCCAGCACATAATGATCTGTCTGCTGTTAAACTGCCGCAGTTGGTATCTCAGGTGGGCATTGAACTGGCAGTCAGAGAGATTGTGTGGAATGAAGGAGCCAGTTGTGTGACACCTGTGAAAACAACTCAAAACTCAAGTGTCAGACAATTCAAGTAAGCTGACTTGTGGAAACCTACTTATGCATGAAGTTTTCTTCTGCTTTGCTCAGAAGATTGTAAAAAGTTTGTCTATTTTTTTTTGTCTATTTAAGTGTTGAAAATGACAAGGAAAAGATTACAACTGGGAAAGATAACCAGGCCAGAAACAAGCCACTCACTGGAACTGATGTGGTTGAGGTATTAGCCCAGAAAAAACATCTGGGAGAACTTGATTTTTACTGTCTGAAGGCTTCTCAAGATCCTCCTTATGGGTGCGAGTCACTGTTCATTTTCAGAAGCTTGATTTTAGCTTGATATAAATTTGTCTTTAAATGATCAGATATATTGTGGTTGACTTACTTGGTAAGCTAAATGTTTATGCTCTTTCTTTAGACCATATAGCTTGCAAGTGATCTCTCGGAGTGATGCATGTGCCGATCACTACATCTTCTCCCCTACAACTGTAATACACATGCAGGATGGCTGCAGCATTGAGCTCTGGACCCTGGCAGAGTGGTATCGAGAGGCTGTGCTTTGTGAAGCTGTGAGAGAAATCCCATTTTTCAGAGATTGTTTACTGCGCAAGATCTTCAAAAGGTTATTCAACTTCACCTAAATAATGCCGAGCAACAGGACACCCAAAAATGAACTCATTTATCATTTACTAATCCACTATTTGTTCTAAAACAGTCTAAGTTTACCGGACAATGTTGTAGACAAAATTGGAATTTGTTTTCACCACACATTAAAAAAAGGTTTCATGATGACAAAGTTCACACATCTGAAACAACAGCTAAAACACACATGCCAGGCCAGTATTTTGCATTGTTATCTTGTTAGTAAACCTGTACCTGGAAGTGAGTGACAATGCACCATTGGTGGGTCAGCGCTGATGTGTATTTAGAAATTGCAGTTCAGTAAATTCACATTTTACTGATGAAGCGTAAACAAAATCTTAAGCAAAAACAACAAGTGGTGGAAAGAGTAAATGTACCATTACTTGCCAAAACTGCAAGTTGTACTGCAACTGCAAGTAGACTAAAAGTATCAAAAAGTAGCCCTTCTAAAAGTACTTAAGTAGTGAGTTGTGACTAAGGGCCCTATTACACACTCAGCGCAATACGGCGCAAGATGTGTTTGCCCTAATGTGTTGCTTTTTTCAGACCAAACAAACCTTAATTTTCTTTCGCCATGTTGTTTAAAAAGCAAGTCCGTGTGTGTCACTTTGTGGACTCATGGGTGTTTCAGTCTAGAAAAGAGGTGTGTTAAGGCGCATTGTTGGCACGTTGCTATTTTGAGGAACTAAAATAGACTGCTCAATAGACCAGCTAAAAGCAGGTCTAAAGTCAAAAGTTGCTTACACATTGCTTAAAACACACCGGATGTACAGCTGTACACAAATATCTTTACAAACGAAAAAGACATAAAAAATTTAAATATTACAAAATTATTACTTTCTACATAAATATAAAAACCACTAGCTCCACGCCTTCGTCATCTCTGGGGGCTTTTTTATTAGTTTTTTCATGATTTTGCTTTCTTGCTTATACTATATTGGTAATATTATTTATTACATGCATGTTTACATTTGTAAAAATGTAAATATTTACCTGTCAGGTTTTGGACCATATTGGGCTCAACATTTGTGTTTATGGGGCATAGCATGTGTGTTTGCATATAACTATTTGACCACATTTCGTTATTATTGTTCATTTATTCGTTTGCTGGAAATTAGAACTGAATTTACAAAATAGTTTTGAAACAAATCTTTGCGCTTAAACGAAATTCATCATGTAGGCTAATGGATGTCTGTGCATACAACATCGTTTCCTTATCCACAAAAGAGAGAATGTGAAAGTAAAGGCCGATTGGAAGAGGCTCATTCTTTATCCTCGCCCTGTGCATGGTCTGTTTAATTGTATTCTCGCTAGTGAAGTTTTCAGTTTTTCCCCTTACAAAGTCTGCCGTGTAAATAGCAAATGTGCCATGGCGCATGACTTCTAAAGGGAATTGGAGATGAGACTCTGATTGTTTTATTCTCAAAACACTCAGAACTCATAAAGAAAATAAGTACAACCCTGTTAGACCATGTGCCATGGCGCACAGCGTATTTTTCATCCTTAAAATAGCAAAAGTGGATTCGGACACGCCCTTAATGTTTTTGCGTCCTGCATATTAGATTGTTAAAATAGAGCCCTAAGTCTTATTCAGTCGTTTTACTCGGCAGCCATCTTTAAACACCTCTCAGGTGAAATAACGATTAAACATCAAATTAGAGGTCTGCGTGGGACTAATTTTGTAGTTCCGCTCCCGCCCGCTCTCGCAAGGTTTAATTCTGCACCTGACTGCTCCCACCATATATTCAGCCTTTACTTCACCCGCTGCCTGACCCACCCCGTTTTCTACCTGACCCGACCATCCCTGCTAAATTTAGATCTGGTTTCCAAAATCTTGTGTTTAAATTGGGTACTACCAGGCGAGAGATAACAGATAAAAGTGTTGAGCAAGGATTGTAGGTTAAATGTCAGTTTTGTTTGCCCCTTTGTGATGAGACATGAGTGGCGCCTTAAACCTGAGGTTCCAGTTTTGTGGCTGGACTTTGAGGTATTATCACATCATGCAAAGGGTAATATTTTTCCATTCGCGCTTCTGATGCATGAAAAAGACTCCAATGCATCAGACTTGCCTGATGTGGGTTTCCTAACTGTTAACAAACCATTTTCTAATGCAAGCTGAAGGACACATCTTCACATTGCTCTCCCATGTTGGTAAAGCCTGCTCTGAGGACCATTATGCAGATGATGCACAGACAGACAATGCAAAAAAACAAAAAAAAAAACATGTTCAAAATGCACTGGTTATGTGTTTATTATGTCTAACAGTAGTAAGCACTGACTGTACCAACACAGATATACTGCTCCCGTTCAATTTACACCAGAGTTACCGACCAGTACCGCATTTTATTCTAAATTTATTCCCGTGGTTCAAGAAATCTCGTCAGATCCCTCAGCTTTTGCAGTACAGCCATGGGAATGCAGACCTCTACATCAATTTCTCCAAAACTGTATGACAGGCTTACAATGAAATTTCATATTTGTAATCACCAACAAAAATGAAACATCAGCTGTCTCTTAGGTTTGTTTCTAAATGTTCAAATCACAAAAATCAGCACTCAAAGGGAACGACATCAACCTCCTTTGTAGGTGTTTCAGTTCACACATTATTATTCTCTGAATAATGCCTCATTCGATCACACTGGTCTTCTGAAGTAATTCCCAACATGATCATGATGGCAAATCTCCTCCCAAATTGACAGGGGCCTCATTGATGACAAGTTTGTGGATGCTTGAGTAGTTGCTGTCATAGGATGTACGTTTGTACTATACCTCGCATTCAAAAACCAGATATTTGTTTTCAAGTGTAGTTGGTTTGTTTAAAAGTAGAGATTTTAGGCTTCATGTGAATATATTTCTCATGTCTGTGAAGGAAGTATTCGCTGAGACTCCAGAAGCTTCATAACAACTGCAGAAACTCGTAAAAACACGTCAGGTCCAAGTCCCTCCCCCTTTGAACTGTCTGTCTATACTGATCGATGATTGGCTCCTGTACTAGAAGGCAGGGCTTTATTCGCCATATTGACTATTACACTTTTTCCCCATTCACAACTATATGAGTGACATTTGTTGTGTATTCTACAGTCTTTGGTAATAAGTATTAAGCAGGTGACACGCATGACGTCTTCACAAACAGATGCTAAAGGTTGACGTCAGTGTGCGTACCCTCATAAAAAACTGTTTAGACTTCTAAAAGGCAGGGCATGAGTATTTGTAAGTCGTAACTTTTCACCACTGACAACAATAATACCACGTGTTTGTTTGCGATTGCCTTCTACATCTCTCTAAACAGATGTACCATGCTTGCGTCTGACATCATTGTTTTCAAAGATTCTTGTTTTTGGGTGTTTATATGGGCATGGCAATGGTGGCATTTTCAGATTTATGCATTTCAAGTCTCAAAAACGATCTTGTTATGTTAGCCCAAAAACCCCAAAAAGGTTTCCAGATATTGGCTGAAAACATTATTAAAACGTAAATGGCCCCTGGGGTTTTCTTAAGTTGATTTAAGAAAAGAAAGTATTTTGAAGGATGTTGGAAACCTTAGCCTTTGACTTCATAGTATTTTATTTCTTAAAATTAATATCAAGTGCAATTGGTTTGTTATATTCAGAAGAAAAAAAAAAACTTTAAAAAATGGTTTGGATCCACGTGAGAGTTGTGAGTGCAGTTTTATTTTTGGGTGAACTGTTCCATTAACTTTGGAATATCTTATATAGTCCTATATACATGCAGTTTTCTAACTCCTTGACAACTTTTTCAGGTGGCACAGAAATGTCCACAAGGTTACAGTCAAACGGAGGATTGACATTCTTCCGTCTCAGCTGCTGATAGCAGTGCCCCAGTTCAGGAATGCATTATTACATCTTGCCAGGTTTTTGTCCCAAAATGACCCTATAAGACATGTTAAAGATTTAATTAAAATGTGCTGCTATAAAGATTCACATTTTTGCTTATCTCAAAAACCTCTTTTATTATTATTCCTAGATTAATTGAGGAGCTAAAGCAGGTCAGGTGGCTGCCACAGGATCCTTTAAGGACGTACACACTCTTGGATTTTCAAACAGCACTCCTGGAAAAGAAGCGGACAGCTCAAGCTTCTTTAGATAGGTTTCTACATTGCCGGGCTGCAGTACTTAATACGGTATGATATACAACATTCTGTTTTTATTGTGTCATTTAAAAAACCCTAGGACTTTCTTCCTTTCCTGGAATGCAAAGCAAGCTATTTTGTAGAACGTTAAAGCTGCTCTTCTTTGATTGAAAGTGAATCGAGACACTAAAAATTAAACCCTGCAATCAATTTGAATTCTTTTCTATATGTCTAGCGTACCAACTCGATCTCATGAGAAACCGTAACTATTTTACATTTTGTCAGTTTAGTGGCTAATTTCTATGAATTTGTATGAATTAAGTCATACGAAAATGTATGATTTGTATGATTTTGAAAATTTAGGAACTGTCATTGGGGGATGAGCAAATCATATAAACTGTATGAATGAGATTGTATGAACTCAAAGAAATTAGCCACTAAATCAAAAGCTTACGAATTGCCGTGAGATAGCCTTGAGCATACGTATATACAGTAATAATAATTTCAAAAGATCTTTAGTTCATGCCCAATTGTGACCCTAGACTACAAGGTTAAAATTTTGCAAATTGAGACAATAAGGTAATAATAAGCTATCCATTGATGTATGGCTGAGATGCAACTATCTGAAAATCTGAAATCTGTGGGTTAAAAATATATATAAATTTCTGTTGTGAAATTCAATGTGCACACCTAATTTGCTCATACATCATTAACTATGTGGATGTTTCGACACAGTGTAAAGAACCCAAAGCGCATTCACCCACTTCTAGTGACTAAAGTGATTTTAAACACCTGGGTCACATGACAAAAATGATCTGAAGCATCCAGGTCACGTGACTAAAGCAATTCAAATCATCGGACATTTCAGAAGTGTTTAGAGTTTTTTTTACAGTCACTGTTCGAGACCTGGTGAATCTGCGTATGAATGACAGGGTTTGAAACGTGAAATGTGCGTGTCCGCAAAGTAAGTGTGCTGCAAATGTCCTGAGTTTGAATCTCGACTATGTATTTTAATATTGTTAAGTTTTATGACCAATACAGGACATAATTATTTACAAAGTGTTTATTATGATGTTAGACCAATGTTAAAAAAAAACACATTACAATAACAGAGCATTTCAAGAGTTTACACTTAGCTCATGACTTACGAAAGCTTGTTTGGCATGCTGTCCTAGGAGAGAGCCCTGAGCTCAAGGCATTCCTCAAGTCCAGGGCGCCCTCCCTTTGTGGGGCGAGGAGAGAGATTGAGCTCAGGGCGATCTCAAAACTCCCCCGCAGCTAAGGCCAAGGTGAACTTCCTGAGAGCGAGATGACTAGTAAAAGAGACTTAGGTTTAAGAGGTCTATGATGCAGAGCAATTTTTTAGGCTTTGGGAGAGAACTGAAAACCCTGGGGGGGAAACGTGCTATCGCCACGCAAAAATACCAGAAGCTCAATTAGGGAGCCAGTGCTAATGATATTCCTGCTGGTTGCTGGGCCGCCGAGCCACCTATTTTGGATAAAGGTGGAAGAAGGGGGATTCTTCAAGACGAAGATCGTTGTAAGTTGGAAAGGAGAAGATATATATAGGAAGTAGGGGTCCTTGATTGGAGGATCTTGATTAGCTAATATGAGCCAGCTGGTTTAATCATGAGCACGTACTCCTCTCGAAATTAGTTTAATAAATTAAACTTCACTTAAAACCTAATGTCTATAGACTGATTTCTCGCAGCCACCATTTTAAAAGCTTATACAGTAGCTGCATCCCCCTTGATTCGAACCCATTGTCTCTGCATGGTAGCTGGAACTCTCACGGCTCCACTAAATCACTTGAAATATCAATTCTACAATGTGGAGTATAATTCCTCAAATTGTGTAATTGTTTGAAGCTGTTCCAAAGTAATACATAAAAAAATTGCGACTATGTGTTGCTGTAGAGACAGGTTTCGAAACGTTTTAAAGCTTTGACACATTTGCTTCAACTGTTTTAGTGTATCATGAAGCCTCGCTCCGCTCACCAACCAGATGATTTATCAGAATGTTAAAGTCCCCATGAAATGAAACATTTTTGGATTTATTGATATTTTATTAGCCTTACTTTAAGGCAGTGGTTCTCGATTCGAGTCCTCGGGCTTCTCCGCCCTGCACATTTTGTATGTCTTCCTTACGTAACACAACTGATTCAGTTTCTCAGCTCGTAAACAGAGAGATCCATGAACCCAAGGATCAGAATTGAGAACCACTGCCTTAACCTATTGTTTATAGTTCAGTTCAGCAAAAAACAAACAAAAATAATAAATTAGCATTAACGAGCAAAACAGAATACCCCCAAATTCTAGCATTTGACAAACATAACAAAGCAAAAAGGGGAAATCTAAATCTTTACTCTACATAAAGGGAATTTAGCGTGTTGTGCGAGTGACTGTGGAGTCCATGGGAACTTTTGGCAGTGGCGCCCCCAGAAAATTTTCTTAGGGGTGGCCAAGTAAGGCCACAACAAATCTTGTGGTGGCACACAAAAAAATATGAATTGTGTATATATTGTGAATAAAGAGTAATGTTATATTTTTGTTTTTGGTTTTAATGAATTCCAATAATTACTCTTGAAATATTGTAATTTATTCCGCAAGTACAAGTGCAAACCAAATAAAAATCAATATTTAGTCTAAAACCTCTTTCAGGTAAGTTATTTCTTGTACAACATACAACATATGCCATGTCTAACATTAATGAATTATGAATAATGAATATGATTAATGAATGAATTAATAAACCAAACAAAACCCAACAAAATTTTGAAAAGCAGATTTCAAAATGCATCTAGTTATTTATTTTGGATTTGTGGTTTTCAATCAGATGAAACACAACTTTCTCATTTCAAAAATAATAATTTCTTAATAAAAAGTGTGCAATCTCAGTGAATCAGCTTCGTCAGTGGCGCTGATCAATCCACAATAATTTAGTGGCTGCATTTTATTTATTCATTTATTTATTGAAGTATTGTGAATTTAAGTAAATACATTTAAATTAATAATATCAGCAACTATCATATTGGGGTGGCCACAGGGGTGGCCAGAGTTTACACAAGGGTGGCCGTGGCCACCCCTGGCCACCCCTTGGGGGCGCCCCTGACTTTTGGTAGTACCAGGATTTCAGTTCTGTTTCAGACGATTTGACGGGAAGATGTTGAACGTAGCACATATAAAAGACATTTTACTCACGAAGAGAACATCCAAGTAGTCCAGGATTTTCTGGTAAACAACTCTCTTTATTAGACACTACGCTATTATGGCAAGTCGCGTCTCAGTAAACACTCGCTCCACCTTCACTTCTGCTAAGCTCCAGCTTCTTCCTCCAACCCACACAGCCAACCACAGAACACCTCTTCCTTTCTTGCTGCCTGGGTCCCTCTATTGATCCATTTTTATATTTTTTAAGAATTGAGGGATTTCCACATAAGGACTCAGAAGGCGGGCTGTAATGTGGTTGTTAAACCTCGCATCGCCACTATAGATACTATTCACTGCATCTTTTTTACTGACCACTTTTGTAATGTTTTGTTCGTTGATTCATTCATTTTCTTGTCAGCTTAGTCCCTTTCTTAATTCAAGGTCGCCACAGCAGAATGAACCACCAACTTATCCTGCACGTTTTTACTCAGCAGATGCCCTTCCAGCCGCAACCCATCTCTGGGAAACATTTACACACACTCATTCACTACAGACAATTTAGCCTATCCAATTCACCTGTACCGCATGTCTTTGGACTGTGAAACACCTGGAGGAAACCCACGCGAATGCAGGAAGAACATGCAAACTCCACACAGAAACACCAACTGAGTTGAGGTTCGAACCAGCGACCTTCTTGCTGTAAGGCGACAGCACTACCTACTGCGCCACTGCATCACCCGTAATGTTTTGTTATAATGTGCAAATGTACAAAATACAATGTAATTGTGTGGAAGAGAGAAACTCTGACATCAGAAGTTTCTCAAGAAGAACGCCGGCCAAACAAGTTCAGAATAACAGAACGCTGCCAGCCAAGACACATCACAGTTATTACTTGTTACAAACATAGTATTCAAATGCATCTTCTCCTGGATTCTTTCCACTTATTTCATCACATTCTACATCCTTTTCCTTCCAAAATGAGTTGTTGGTCTCCTATGGCTGCATGAATGCATTTGACAATATGAGTATTTACTCTAGGGATGCTAAAAACGTTTTAGACCCCTATTCAAAGTTGTATTTTGTGTCATCACTTTTTACCAAAACACATCTTAAATAAAACCAAGTCTAAATAGGGCCTGAAAGGTTGTCAATTTTTTTTGGCTGAACTATTCCTTTGACATTATTAAATATTCATTGCACTTATCATCTACTTGCAGGTGAAGGATAAGAGTTATCAAGCATGCCAGGACCTCCAAATGGAAGTAGAAAACGTAAAGCTTTACCAGAGCAGTCAATCCTTACACCTTCAGGTCTCCTACCTTAGAAAGCTACAGAAAGAGCTCAGTCAGGCAGAACAAGCCATACAGTGGCTGGGAAACCTTGCATCTCTGGCTGATCACATGACTGTCCAAAACCTAGTCACAATCTCCAAAGGGGAGATCACAGCTTTCCTGAACAACGTTTTAAATGTGAGAATCAAGGTTTTAATTGTGAATTTTGAATTACATGTAAGATTGATGTATTTTTCTTGTTTTACAAATGCACATCATTTAAAAAACTTTCAGAGAAAACGGGAAGAACAGAGCGGTCTCTTCCAGGTGGAGATTATATTTGGAACAGATGGTCAACTTTCTGTTTTTCCTCCATTACACTTGTTTCAGGAAGTTTTACATGAAGCAGTGTTATCTGTAGAGGATTCAATACTTCAGGTGAGAAGTCATCGTGCACCAGATGGTCGAATTAAACAATACATGCATCGTGTATTAATAATACCCATTTTGTTATCTAATCTGTAACCTTCATTTTAGCTGTGTAAATCCTTTTAATATTTAATTGTTCACAAATAAAGACAAGTGTGCTCTTTTAAAAACATTTAAACATACTTACCAGGGGCGGACTGGGACAAAAAAATCAGCTCTGGCACTGTAGCCACACCAGTCCACATTACCACACCGACACAGCCCCATCCACGGACACGCATATTCACTATATACATTGGTATACAGATGGTGAAATAATATAAGCAGTTCCATATGTAATAGATATTTAAACATTTAATGTTTGTGACTGGAACAAAAACAACCCATTTATAACAAATTTGTACATGCAATCATTTCATTTATTTATTTTCTTTTCGGCTTAGTCCCTTTATTATTCTGGGATCGCCACAGCAGAATGAACCCCCAACTTATCCAGCATATGTTTTACGCATCGGACGCCCTTCAAGCTGCAACCCATCACTGGGAAAGGCCTATACACACACATTCACATACATGCACTACGGACAATTAGGCCTACCAAATTCACCTATAGCACGTGTTTGGACTTGTGAGGGAAACCGGGAGGAAACCTATGCAAACTTCACACAGAAACACCAACTGACCCAGCCAAGGCTAGAACCATTGACCTTCTTGCTGTGAAGCGACATCACTACCCACTGCACTGCACCCTTTTGAGACTATTTCAGTTAATTTTATGCATTTGGCAGCGTCTGATTTTAGAGCAATTTTTTGCTTTCTCTGAGCTTTTCGGCATCGCCTTTCCTTTTTTACGGTCCATCTCTGACAATTAGCTTGTGTTGCACTTACTGTTTGTTTAACATTCTTGCCAGATTTTGATTTCGTCCGCGTAACTTCTGATTGGGTCGGCCCATCTCGAAACCAGGCTTAACACTTATTATTATTATTACTATCATCATCATCATCACCATAATATTTACATCTTGCAAGAGATAAAAGCTGTCTGCATGTAAAAACTCTATACTAAAAAAATAGCATACCGGCCCACATTTAAAAAATGGCCAGTCCGCCCCTCATACTTACTGCGTAAATGATCTGTTTCTACAGGTGTTTGACTCCTGCAGTTTGTCATATGACTCTAAAGGCTGTTTGCCCACCAGTTGTGTTAAAGATCCTATTGAAGGTATCCAGCACATCATCACATACAGTATACAGTGCTCAGCATATATAAGTACACCCCTTACAAATCTCTCATTTAATAAAATATTTTCTATAGGATGCTTTACAATATTATATTTGTGCATATACATCAGATAATTCACTACTGAAGCTAAATCTTGAGCTAATCTAACAAAATAACTTTACAATTATAGTTCAAAAATTAGTACATCCGCATTTATATGTTATAGAAAAATATTCATTCTTTCATTTTCTTGTCAGCTTAGTCCCTTTATTAATCCGGGGTCGCCACTGCAGAATGAACTGCCAACTTATCCTGCAAGTTTTTACGCAGCGGATGCCCTTCCAGCCGCAACCCATCTCTGGGAAACATTCACACACACACTCATACACTACGGACAATTTAGCCTACCTAATTCACTTGTACCGCATGTCTTTGGACTGTGGGGGAAACCGGAGCACCCGGTGAAAACCCACGCGAAGGCAGGGAGAACATGCAAACTCCACACAGAAACGCCAACTGAGCCGAGGTTCGAACCAGCAACCTTCTTGCTATGAGGCGACAGCACTACCCACTGCGCCACTGCCTCGCCTAGAAAAATATTAAATACAAATTTAAAAAAGAGTATACATTTTGGTGAAATGTTGTAGTTGCAGTAACTTAATTGTATTATCTTTCCATTTTTAAAGATGTTGTTACTAAAATACTATTTTAATAACAATATCTGTTTAATAAATCTGTTTTGTTCCAAATGCACCAATATTTATTACCCATATTCACTGGGAAATGGATAAAAATATTCATTTTCAAAATGGCAAATATGCTGAGCACTGTACCATTTCACCCACAATTTAAAAGTCTATCATATTTTACTCACCCTCCTCTTGTCTTTCTTCTCTTGAGCACAAAAAAAGTAAAAAAATTAATTGTACTCCACTGACCCATTGATATTTTTCCTACAATGGATTCTGAGGTAAACTGTCAGCGCATACTCTGCTGATTTAGAGAACTTGCTTGTTAGGAAAGCTCCATGAAGGGATTTTTTTCCCCCTGACATGTTCCATAGTGTTCACTGCTTTCTGCCCTCTGCAAAAACTGGCAGACCTTTCAGACATAGTGTTTATTCAAATGTAATCATGAGTATTGCATCAAAAAGTCATCACGCATACTTTAACACCCTTTGAATTGAACACATCTTTTTCTGTCTGGAATATACTGTCATACAGGACACTTAGGCCCCGTTTACACTAGCACGTTTTAGTTTTAAAACGGCATTTTAGAATGAAAATGATGTGTGTCCACACTGGCGTTTCATCCAGCATTTCTGAACAACTCTCCGTTCACAGTATACCACTGAAAACACACATCACGTGACCACACATAGATGCACTGCAGCAATGAGAGCTGTGCACGTCAGACTGCTCATCAAGAATCTACCGCTGGATCTAATGTTACTCTATTTGTTAAATGTGATATTTAGTTCATCTTGTTGTCTACATCTAACAACATATTCCCCAACTTTGGTCTTTTGAATTTATTACTTGTTCTCGGGTATACGTGTTTTGGCTGAGCGCAAAGATAAATTAGGTTAATATATTAATGTATGTAACCACGTACACTGATTCTGCACATTTGACTGATTGCTTGCATTTATTTCCTATAATGTATAAACTTATTGTACGTTATACTTTTATAATGGCCATTATTGATTAATAAGACGAAAAACAGGGTATGTTTCGTATTTTTAAAGAAAATGAAAGGAGGCGTTAATGTTATAGGCTATGTTTTGTTATAAAAATACATGCAGTGAAGATGAAAGTCATATAAACATGTATCTACATGATGCCTCGACATTTTTGGTGTCTGCTTAGTTGCTAATAGCAAAATGAAAATAGGCAGTTCCTTATATGTTTTCATTTTATTGTTAAGAAAGTGAAACAACTTAGCCAGGGTGATGAAAATGAGGTTATAAAGTACACTGTTTCCTTTGAAGATTTACCCAACGTGTCTTCGGCAGTTTGCTTTCCATATCAAAGTCTAAACTTACAAAGAAAGTATGGAAGACTGATCTTTGTTTACTTAATAATATAGAGGAAAAATCCCCAGTCAGATAGGTGAATGTCTGCAGCCCCGCCTCCGTTTTCAGATGTCTCTGTTTTCCCACATCTACACGGAACAGCAGTGTTTTAGAATGAAAACGGCCTCTTCAGCATTTCCAAAAAGCTCCGTTTTCAGCCCTCGAAATCTCTGGCGTAGTGTGGACAGATGGAATAACCATAGCAAAACTTATGCGTTTTAAAACTAAAACGTATTAGTGTAAACAGGGCCTTAAAGTCAAACAGGAAAAACCTTGAAAGTGGAAAGAGGAACATCCAAAATGTGCAAAGAGGGGTTACAAGGAAGACAGAACACCAAAATTACCAAACTACAACAGTTTATAGGGGGACCAATAGCTTAAACCCAAACATGACCAGTCTGTCAGATAAAGAAGAGCCAAAGAGATTCAATAATAAAAAAAAGTTTACTGAAGCTAGTTTGCAGTCAGCAGAAGCCAGCTTCAACACTCTAAAGAGTTAGTAGGCCAGTCTGCTTACAATCTCAAACTGCAATTATACTCTCACATAATGTTATTAACTGTGTCATACATATAGGTGTTTAACCTGATTGGTTAAAAACACAGACAGACTTAGAAAATTTTCATGTGCGCGTGTGTGTAATTACAAAAAATATCTTCCAAAGATCACATACAAAAGTCAGACAGCCACTAGGGTATTCAGAGCTTACCCCAGAGTTATAATACTGATCCACACCAATAGAACACACATAAACACACACAAAGTACAATGTTTTATTACACAGTGCTGTTTAGTGTACTCTCAGCTTTCTTATCAAAACTGGTTCAAAATTGGTACAATCGACATCCAAACTTGCAGCTTACATACAAAGGAATTTACTTTGAAAGATATTTAAAAAAAAGTCCAGGTCCATTCTATAGGTCTCCATATGTAACGCGGGGAGTGACAGAGACAACTGAGTAGCATCCACGAGCAGGTTTATTGGAGTAGTCAGGCAAGCAATGGTCAACACAGGTGCAAACAGATGTATAAAGGAAGTCCAGAATCATAGTCAAAAGTATCAGACGAGAGGTCAAAAGACAGGCGGCAGACAGAGACAAAAAGGTTAACAAGGCTAAGGTCAAAACACGGGAAAACAAGACAAGGATAACGCGTTGTGATGTCACTTTACAGCTAACAAGACTCTGCAATGTGAATGAGTGAGTGTGCTGCTTAAATAGTGTGTGCAATCAGTCTTTGACAATGCTCAGGTGGTGCGACTGTAATCAGTCTAAATGAAGAAGCATGTGTGAGTGTGAGTGGAGTGCATGTATGAAAATGTAGTGCAGAAATGGTTGATTTGTAGTCCAGAAGTATTGTGTGCGAGATCCAGCGATCTAAAGAGTTACGTTCACTGGTGATCGTGACACTATAACCTTTGATCTAGCTTGGTAGATCCTGAGGAAACAAATCATTTGGCATTCAGAAAAAGCAATGACACACACATACTATTCCAGATTTAATCTGAAGAGGGATGACACTAAGGTCATAATATAATCTAGGCTCTTAAACATTCAACTTTATTAATAATCATAACGAGATGGGAAATTATACGTGTTACTCCATCCTGGAGCTGACATCCATCAAAACACCCGCATCATCAAGTTTAGTGTAAACATCTCCTTAGATGTTTCCACTTTGGGTACTGTCATCTGTCTGACTACCAACATTCTTCAAAATATCTTCTTTTGTATTCGACAGAAGAAATACTCATAGGTTTAGAACAACTTAAGTAAATAAATAAATGTAAATTAGAAAAATGTAATATTTGAGTGAACTACCCCTTTAAATAAAAAAAACTGTCTTATTTAACCATATACAGGATGTAGCAAAACATTCTTACATTTTTTCTTGTCTTTTCAGAATTTAAAGACAAAGTTTGTGAAGTAACAGGTCCTGACAGTGAGTCATCTCTAAAGGAGCTTGAAAGGATGTTCTCCCAAAAAGACAGGTCACCCCAAAGCATAAGGCCAGTCAAAATGAACTCCCTGAAAGTTCAGGCGCAAAGAGTGCAAGGCCATTATCAGCCTCTGCCCTGGAGACTGCTGGAGTGGAACCTGAAAGTTCATGTTGAAACACAGGAGATTCAGAATGAGCAGGACAAGATTACTCAGGTAGTCAGATTTTTCATCTAGACATTGTGTCTGATTTAGGATCATATGAACAACCATGTCTATAAGAACATAGACACATCAATTAGAATTATCACTTCTCAAACCCCATAATTGGTTATGTTGATTTTCTTGTAGGATGCTATTACAGAGGTGTTCCAGCTGTGTGAGAGCCACTCTTGGTTGATAGATGTTCATTTGTTCACCAGTCAGTGGGGTTCAGATTCTCCAAAAACCTTGCGTGGATGTTCTCCTCTGAAATATGAGGAATTAATCAAGAAACTTCAGTTTTGGATGGACAAAGTTCACAACGTTCCTCAGTTCTTCAACACATCAAATAAGTTGTTTACTGTTGAGATATCCAACATCAAAAAACAAATAGGTATATTTTCAAATGTTCTTATTTTCTAAATGGCGTATTCATAACTAAAAATCTGTTATTTGTAAAACATCTGTAATATAATACATAATGTGTGTGAATGGGATTATTTGCTGATGTAAAAGAAATAGCTTGTTTCAGTATATGCCAGTGAGTTCCTGTAATTTGAAACAATTACAGTCACTTCTTTAGAGTAGGGATGTTCAACCTCTAGCTTTTCTATGCATTATTATTAGTTACATATAATTAAAATGGACCATTTGATCCAATATTGTGCTTATTAGCTTAGCAACATGCTAACACATAACAAGCACTGAGACTTTGATTTTGGCCTTTTGTTTGTCCATAGTAATTAATTTATGTTTTACAACATAAATTCACAACAATCACAACATTTTGTCCGAAGCCACTGACTATAAATGATAGATTAATAGTATAATCCCACAGACTAATGGTGACAAAACAATGTATGTATACATTATATACACTCTCAGAAATAAAGATACGCGAGCTGTCACTATGATGGTACCTTTTAAAAAGGTGAACATTTGTACTTAATGGGTCCACATTGACACCTTAAAAGTATACATTAGTACCTAAAAATTTTAAGAGGAACACTTTTGTACTTTTTAGGTACTAATATGTACCCTTGAGGTATTAATATACAAATTTGTACTTTTTGAAAAGGTACCACCCCAGTGACAGCTTGCGTACCTACTAAATTTGTGTTAGTCTGCTTAAGTGTTTTAAAATGCTGATTTCCTGTCTTGTTTTGTGTTAAGGTTCCAAGTTAAACATCATTGCCAAGGATTTGTCAAAGTTACTGTATGAAGATTTGCAGATACGCTCTAAGAATTTAATTGCTGAGCTGAAAAGAGCTGTGGAAATCATGCAGTCTGAACCAAATTCGTTTCACAAGTTCACCGTTTTTGCAGACATGGTATTAACTCACTTCTTTATCAGTGCTGGTCAGTCAGTGTAAACTGGAGGTAATTGGACGTAATTGGATTTTTTGCAGGTAAAGCAAAGTGAGAAGATGTCAGGAAACATGCAGCAGGAACTGAAAGACCTCCACTCTTTACAAGAAAGTGTGCGACAGAATTATACACAAGTGGCTTTGAATGATATGATCTCAATGAAGCAGGTGCTTGTAAAAACAATATATATGTAATTGATTTCAATCGAATTGCAAAATCTAACAACCACTTTTTTCTGCAGGTAGTTGACTTGTGGGATTGCTTAGTTCCACTAACAAAACAAGCTGCAGACAAAGTTTCCCAACAGCTTCCTTCTATGCTGGAAACATTAGACAGCAATGTTTCCTCATTAGTGAACAAATTAGACAACCTGGTTTCAAGAGCCACCTCTGGACCCTATCTTGACCCTGACCAGAATGCCATGGAAATGCTTGTCCAGCTAAACACACTGTGCAGTCAATTCTATGTGATTGCTGAACAGTTTAATGATCAGAGCAGAGCCAGTGAAATTCTGAGAGGTAAGAAAATAAGTCCTAAAACCTAAACAAAGCAATTTCTTCCAATTTTAATGCAGTAGTTTAATGTCAGTGATTTTTATTTACTTTTTTTCAGGTCATCAACTAGATCTCACTTTTGTGGGAGTAGCACAGCAGAGAATTGAAGCAAGGAAAGGACTCTGGGAACTGATAAGCATGTCTTCCACGCAAATCCAAGAGTGGAAATTACTACATTTCAGAAAGGTTTGTAGTTATCGAAAAACATTTTTATTTGATAGTTTGGATTATACCAACGTCCCTTTAAAGGGGAATTCCACTATGATATAATATTTTAAACTTTAGTTGATGTGTAATGTAGATGTGTGAACATAAACAACATCTCTGAATGTAAGACCTCAAAGTTCAATGCAAAGGGAGACATTGGCTTTTACAGTGTTAGCTCAGCAAAACCTACAGCGAATGAAGTTTGGGGTCTACAAAAAATACATTCGGGTTAATTATGTCATTGTCACGATTACCAGCGATCGTATTTCATAAGATCGCTGATAATCGTGATTGTCATAAACCTTTCAGGTTACGCACATACACCCCACACAGTGAAGGGACATGGCCAGAGGTGCTGTGAAGTTATAACAGAGACACTTCCTGGTGATGTGGAGCTGATCTGTGAATCACAGCACATTATGTTAGCTGACCAATCAGAGCCTTTAGAGGGCATGCCTTTCAGAGGAACTAAAAAATATGACAGTCGTTTTCATGTTAGCAGAGTAGCTGTATATAATCAAAGTAGAATATATGAAAAAATAACGTGATTTTCTACAAATGAAGCATGAGAACACATTGCTTAGCACCCCATAAATGGAACCAAGCTTTAAAAATACACTGTGGACCACCACTTTAAGGCAAGTCATTTCTCTCGACGACCTTCTTTGAAATGCCTCTCGGGTATTCTGTCTGAATGGTGGAACATCAAATTCTTCAAAACTGTTGGCCAAGCTTACAATTACATTACATATTTGTAATCACCAATCAACTTAAACAGCAACTGTCTCATGTTTTGAAATGTCCGAATCAAACAAAATTGGCATATTTTCAGGTTTCTCAAGCTAATGCATATGCACACTCAAAAGGAACAAGATCATGCCACCAACTTCATTTATGGCTGTTTAACATATTATCATCCTCTGGATAATGATTGCCTGATCACGCTGCTCTTCTTAAGTAATTCACAACTTGGTCTTGATGGTGAATCTAGTCCAGAAATGAGAGCAACTCTTCGTTTACAAATTTGTGGGCATTTGAGTAATTGCTGTCATGGGATGTGGATCAGGCAGGATGGACTGTATGTCACGTTCATTTCATACAGATTACAAAACCGAAAAGCTTTTGTTTTCAAGTGCACTTGTTTCATTTAAGAGTACAGATTTTAAGCTTTATGTTGATATATTCATTGTGTCTGAGAAGCAAGTATTTGCTGAGATTCCAGCAGTTTTGCTGACCAACAAACTATCGTGAAAGCACACGTCTGGTCCGAGTTTCTCCTCAGAGAAATGTCAGTCTATAGGGATCAATGATTAGCTCGCCATATTGACCCTTACACTTTTCCCCATTAAAACTATACATTGACATGTCTTGTATATTCTATAGTCTTTGATTATACATAGTTTTCAACTTCTTTTTTTGCATTTGCATCATTACAGTTTGTGGTGACTAAAGCCCAAGACGTGGTTGGTTCCTGGATACAAAAGGCAGAAACATTTGCTAAAGTCATACCTTTCCATGATGCATTGCTGCAGAAAAACCTGCAGATTTTACAGGCCTTTAACCAGTTCCTTTCTGTATTGAGTAAGCTGATTAGTCCCACTCTGAAGCACAAGCACTGGAGAAACATCTCAAAGGGTAAGATGGCTTAGCAACGCTAGATAGCATAGCCAAATGGCATTGATGGCTTAGCCAGATTTAGCCACATGAGTGTTTTGTAAATAATATGTAGGAACCAAACATCTGTATGTTTTCTGTAGCAATTGGTCTGGCGTATGACCCAGAATGGAAATTAACAGTAGCTGATCTCTTGTCCAAAGACCTGCAGAGGCATCAAAATAAAATCAATAAGGTTTAGTAGTACTTGTTTACATTGAAAAACATGAATATTTTTGGGATTATTGTAAGCTCTGAGTTGTGGATGTTGATTGGCTTTCAGATTTGTCTTGATTCCAAAGCTGAGACAGACATGGAACAGATGTTCAGAGCTCTTCAGAGGCAATGGGAAACAGCAGAGTTCCATCATAAAAGGTTCATTATTGCTGTCCAGCAACAGCAGACTCCACAACTAGGTGATGTCTTACCTCAAAATGCACCAAAACATCACATTAGTGATGGTGGAACATTCACTATTACTGGTGAGTGATATCCTCAGTTATTCAACTGGTCTCCTCTGGTGGTACTGATAATGTTGTCAATCTGTCTATTTCTTTACAGGTATAGAGACACTTCTGGCTCATTCTAAGGAAAGTGTTCTGATCCTTTCCGACATGCTGCGTTCTCCATATGTTGATGAGTTTCAGAAAGATGTTGAACACTGGCTTCTGTTTTTACAAGAGCTGGGTATATTCCTGAGAAAAAACATAGGAGTCAATAATGTATATTTAGGAAGTAAAAGATGTTTTGCAATATTAATTTCTTGTTTTACTTTGTCTCTTTACTTGCTTGATTTACTACAGATGAATTGCTTGATATATTTGAGAGATATCAGCAGAAATGGATCTTTATAAGCCGAACATTCAATGAAAATGTGCATCAAAAGTTTGAGTTGGTATGTTTTTTTTTTATTTGATGCTTTTTTTGTTTACTCAGTTCAAGCAATTTCCTTTAACTAATCAATAATTCTTCTGTTGCAGCAAGAGAGGTTTCACCCGGCAGATAAGTTGTTTCGTGAAATCATTGAGATCACAGTCAATGACCCACATGTATGTAGTTTTGTTCATCTGAGTACAAGAACAGAGTTCAGTGACACTTTACAAGGTCAAAGTCTACGTGCTGCCTTTCTGAACGGACTCACAACAATGGAGGAGATTTCCAATCATTTTCTTAATGTATTGGAGTCAGCACGCAGCCAGTTTCCCAGACTCTACTGTCTCAGTGATGGAGAGTTGATAAAACTTCTCTCTTTACAACTTCCAGCACCTTCCTCCCTTTTACAACTCATACAGAAATGCTTCACTGGAGTGAAGCAACTTGATGTTCAAGTCGAAGGTAATGTCTGCAGTACACATGACTTGACAGCTCTTACTAATGAGCGAATGTTGGTACATGGCATATATGGAGAATTTGATGAATACGTTCCCTTCATATGCCCACTTAAGTCAAACCTCAATCCTGTGGCTTGGCTTGGTTTATTTGAGCAAAAGTTAAATCAAGCAGTGAAACTTAGGTTTGTAAAATGCTTAGCCATCCAGCAAAAATCGAAGCATGGAAAGCTTTTTAGAGACCCAGACCTGATTGAGCATAACAAGAGTAACAGTTCTGAAGTAGCTCATGAAGAACTTTTAAAACTAATATCTCAGTATCCTTTGCAATGTCTTTTGGTGGCAGATGAGGTGCTGTGGTTTAGTACAATCCAAGAGTCAAATTGTGCAACTGCTGACATGTGGAAGACAATAAAGTGCCAAAAAGCTGCACAACTGCACTATTTGTGCCAGCTTATTAATGAAAATTCCACAGATTCAAATAAGAACCCGTCTCGGCGCATCTTGACAGCTCTGCGTGCCTTGATTATGTTGACCTTAAAGCACTCTTGCCAAGCCGATGGGCTTGTCAAAGTGAAAGGAGATTTGGAGACCTCTTTTGAATGGCAGAAGCTTATGAAGTATTACCTTATTCCAAATGCAAATGCCATTGCTAGTGATTTACTTCCATCTCCAGAGGATCAGTCTGTCTGTGTTGATATTCTGCGCACACAATTGCCATATGGCTATGAATACATTGGACCTGAGAACTGGACCATGGTGAATACCCCTTCAACTGAACAAGCTTACATGGGCATAATTCTTGCTCTTTCCAGCTTCAAGTGTGCTTTCATCAGTGGACCCTACATGTCAGGCAAGCAGCATGCTGCTGTGCAGCTGGGTTACGCACTGGGTCGACAAGTGGTTATATTGAAGTGTTGCTCAAGCACTAGATCCTCAGTCATTTCCCAAACGCTTCTAGGTGCTCTTCAAAATGGAGCTTGGCTAGTACTTGATTCAGTGGATTTGTTGGAACAAGGGACATTGTCTGATTTGGGACAACACTTGACCGAAATTCATCAAAATTTATCAGCAGTTCAAAGACAAACACAAGAAAAAGAACATGAGTTTTTTGAGGTGGAATGTCACATTGCTGGGAAAAAAAATATACCGGTCAAGCTTACTTATGGATGTATCACAATCTCAGCTAATGGCTACTCAACTAAGATGCCAGAAAATTTGAGAGCTGCGGTGAGGCCTGTCACACTGATGAAGCCACACTACAGAATCATTGCAGAAGTGATGTTGTTGTCATATGGGTTTTCTGAAGCTGCTGATTTAAGTCGCCGCCTGGAATGTCTCTTTAGGCTTGCAAAGGATTTACATTGCCTTCCTGATTTTGTGAGTGGACATCAGACCTCTTGGCTTGTCCTTCTCAGAAATGTGATTTCTTCCTCTGGAACACATTTAAACCTCTTTCGTCATTTGAAAGAAACTGACAAGTTCAGAGAACATTTTAAGTTTGCCAATCAGTCCAAGAAAATTATGAATGCTGATTTAGAGGAGCAAGCTACAATCAAAGGGGTGCTGTCAGTCATGCAGAATACTGTCTCAGATCCAAAGAGAGCAACAAAGTTTCATAAAATATTTGAGGAAACCTTTCCAAAAGTAAGGCACTTTGCAAGTCTACAACAAATTATTGATGAAGAAGAACAAAATATTTTAAGAAATGCAGTGAAAGATGAGTTGCAGCATCAAGGATTTCACGCAGACGCACAGATGCTTGATAATGTGTTGATTCTACATCAAGCTTTGAAGGTTTCCAATGTTATAGTGCTTCTTGGGCCAGCAGGTTGTGGCAAAACAACTTTATATCAAACCATAGCAAGTACATTTCAGAAACTTTCCAGGATTCTTGATGTTGAATCTACAGGTCAGCATAAAGGAGATTTCAAAGACGACTATCATGAGTTGCCTATGCCATGTTGCCCTCCTGTGAGCATTGAGGTTATATTCCCCAATGCCTTGACCCACAAACAATTTTTCGGTGGTTATTTTGACATGGACAGTTCCTGGTTTGATGGAGCTTTCACTAAAGCATTAAGACGCTCAGGACAGATCACCCCTTCCAAAAGAAAGAAAGCTGTGCAAACCCAATATGTGAATTGGATTGTGCTAGATGGCGATCCAGTCGGCGAACCTGCTTGGTTAGACTCTTTGACAACTCTTCGTGATCTTGAACATCCTCATCTTTACCTCTCATCAGGAGAGAAAGTTGAACCATCGAAACTGAAAATACTAACTGAGATCACAAACCTCGGTGATTCAACACCCTCTGTAGTGGCACACTGCAGTCTAGTGTATGTTTCTGGTGAGAACCTGTGGAGATCTGTGTGGGAGAGTGAGATGGATGTTCTCTCTAGAGAGCACATTGTGGACCAGATTACTCTGAAAATGTGGAGACAGCTTTCCGAAGACCTTTTCTCTGACACATTAGTGTTTCTTAAAAACACCGTTCTTTCTCCAATGATGGCCAGCGGTGGATGTGAAGGCAAACAGGCATCTAGGATTACTGAGGGTTTGCAGGAAATAACGAGTTTCATTAAGATTCTTTGTGCGCTTTTGGAACATTCGGGGAAGGGAGGAGCCTCCAAATTCACTTCAAGGGAAACCCAAACAGAAGGTAAAAATGTGCTCAGTTCTATTCCTATTTATGAGTGTTTCTTCAGCTATAGGCACTTTCATGTCATAGGGATTTTGTAATAATTTAAAAAGATTGCAATTGTATTTTTATCATATTAAGACCACATATATATATATATATATATATATATATATATATATATATATATATATATATATATATATATATATATATATATATAGCATATTTAATTGTTGTTTTTTTGCATTCGTTCACCTAAATTAAATAAATAAACTAGTAAAAATATAAATATACACGTCATACGACAATTGTCATATCTTCCTATAAATTGCCCATAGCTGAAGGAGCAGTAAATGTGACCCTAGACCACAAATCCTTTCATATGGGTTATTTTTGAATTTTAGATTTTACACTCATCTAAGAGCTTTATTAAAAAGCGTTCTATTGATGTATGGTTTGTTAGGATAGGACATATTTTAGCCTATAACACTACCTGACAAAAGTCTTGTCGCCTATCCAAGTTTTAGGAACAGCCAATAATAACTTGACTTCTAGTTGATCATTTGGTACCAGAAGTGGCTTATATGAAAGGCAAAGGCTTCTAGATTACGCTTATTTTTACCCAATCAAAATATGATCATGTCTTTACTTTTAATTATTTTTTTAGGACAGTAAGGTCTGACTTTGCTTAGACGAAAGTCTTGTTACTTAACAGAAATGATGTACAATATAGAATATAAAGTCATGGTGCCGTGGAAAAAGAATTAACATTGTGTTTGACTCCCATGAGCTTGGAGGACTGCATCCATACATCTGCTATGACTCAAATCACTTAACAAATTATTAAAGTCATCTGGAATGGCAAAGAAAGCTCCTTCTTCTTCATGTTACCCCAGTGATGCTCAATAATGTTCATATCTGGTGACTGGGCTGGCCAATCCTGGTGCTCATTGACCTTCTTTGTTTTCAGGAACTTTGATATGAAGACTGAAGTATGAGAAGTAGCGCTATCCTGGTGAAGAGTTTGCCATGTTCTGTGGTTTTTAATAAAATGGGCAGCACAAATGTCTTGCTACCTCAGGCTGTTAATGTTGCCGTCCACCCTGCAGATCTCTCGCACGCCCCCATACTGAATGTAACCCCAAGTTATGATATTTCCTTACCAAACTTGACAGATTTCTGGGAGAATCTTGGGTTCCAATTGGCCTTTTGCAGTATTTGTGATGATTGGGATTCAGTTCAACACATGATTCATTAGAAACATCTAGAATCTACCTTCTGACACTTTTCCAAGTGATCAACTAGAAGTCAAGTTATTTATTTTTTTGCTTTTACAAATGGGATCGACGAAGACGACTTTTGTCAGGTAGTGTGTTCTGGTGGGGTTCACAAACTAACAAACAAACAAAAAAGAAAATCACCTTTAAAGTTGTCTAAATGAAGACTTTAGCAATGAACGTTACTTATCACTATGTACATTTCGAAATATTTAAAGTAGGTAATTTATAAAATATCTCCAAGCAACACGATATTTACTTTAAATCCTAATGATTTTTTTGGCATGAAAGAAAAATCTATTATTTTGACCAATATGATTTTTTTTTATATACATGTGCAAGATAAGCCTGGTTTTTTGGTCCATGTACACATACAGCTTATTCTATGTTATGTGTATAGTATTCTATACTATATGCTAAGCTATAGTATAACCTATACAGTATATGTCCTGAGATTACTTTTGAAATTTGTGTTTGCATGCTGTAAAGTTTTAAGAGACTGATAATCTGAGTTCAGTATTTTAGTTAACAATGCAAATAAATTAATATTCTTTGCTCTTTAGACAGTGCACAAGTTCTCCAGCCACCATGCACTGATGCCATGGCTATTCAGTGGGGACTGCAAGCAAGAAACATCTTTTTTGTTGCTTATATTTGGGGATTTGGAGGACATTTGCATCCTAGGTATTTCACATGTGTAGATGTCTTAGATGTTGTTATGAAAAAGTATTTACACTCATTCATTCATTCATTTTCTTTTTGGCTTAGTTCCTTTATTTATCAGGGGTCGCCACAGCAGAATGAACCGCCAATTTATCCAGCATATGTTTAACACAGCGGATGCACTTCCAGCTGCAACCCATCACTGGGAATATTTACACTCAGGCTTTGCTATTACAATTTGTTTGCAAACTGCAAAAACCAATGAATATAGCATTTTCCTGTTATAAGTAGCCAAACTATCTTTATTTTAAACTTTGAAGGCACAATTGAAAATATCCAAAAACTACTAGAACAGTTTTAATGTTTGTTGACCTACGTATATACCCCATTGTTTTGAAGAATGTGCAATAAGCAATTTTACTAGTGACATGAACTGTGTCCGATGTTGCGTTGCTAATGACGTCAAACCTCCTCAATCCTTTTAATAAGTTTATAAAAAACAAAGAAACAACAAAGACTTTTTATTATGTGTGTGCTTCATTAAACAGCACAGGGCAGCAATAAAACAGAAACCTAAAATAAGCATGATAAAACAGTGCTGCTTCTTCTCCACGTGATCACGACTGGAAGAATCGGAAGTGTCTGTGGCATAATAAAAGATCTGCTTTCATGCCATGTCATAGTCGTCTCTCATCAGCTATTGCTTCAGCATTCTTGAAACAAGCACAGCAAGAAGGTCGCTGGATCGAACCCCAGCTGGGTCAGTTGGCATTTCTGTGTGGAGTTTGCATGTTCTCTCCGTGTTCGTGTGGGTGTCCTCCAGGTTCTCCTGTTTCTCCACAGTGTAAAGACATGTGGTACAGATTAATTGAATAAGCTAAATTGGCCATAGTGTATGTGTGTGAATGCAAGGGTCTATGGGTGTTTCCCAGTGTTGGGTTGCAGCTGGAAGGGCATCCGCCGCGTAAAACATACACTGCAAAAAATGCTTTTCTTGCTTAGATTTTTTGACTTGTTTCTAGTCTAAATATCTAAAGTTTCTTATATCAAGAAGTATTTTCTAGACAAGAAAAACATGTCTTGTTTTGAGAAATAATATTCCGATATTAAGTGAATTTTTTTCTTAAAACAAGCTAAATAATCTGCCAGTGGGGTAAGCAAGTTAATCTTGTTTTTTCTTTTAATGTAAGATTATTTTGCTTACCCCATTGGCAGATTATTTTGCTTGTTTAAGGAAAATTCACTTAATATTGGAATATTATTTCTCAAAACAAGACAATAAGTTTTGCTTGTCTTGAAAATTCTTCTTGATTTAGGAATTTTTAGATATTTGGACTAGAAACAAGAAAAAAAATCTAAATAAGAAAAGCATTTTTTGCAGTGTATGGATAAGTTGGCGGTTCATTCCGCTGTGGGGATCCCTGATTAATAAAGGGACTAAGCCGAAAAGAAAATGAATGAATCAGTTACATATTAGTATTTACCTGTTCCTGTCATAGGCACTGGCTGCATTTTGATCTTTTTGCACGCGAGGCCCTGTATAAGAGCTGTTGCAAAGTTGAGACTCCTCCAGAAGGCACAGTATTTGAGCATTTCTTTGAATTCAGTGAGGAAATGGGAGACACAACCAATTTCCTTGACTGTAGCACTCGGAAGAGTCCACCGCTGTTCTTCACATCTGTGCCTCAGGTTTGCCTTTTCTATCACAGAGTACATATAGCATCAAGATTATTTATTTTCCTCATTCCGCAATGCAATGTGTTTGAGCTGTGTCTGTACTTTTTGTGTTTGTTACAGTATGAAAGACATGCATATCTTCTGGACATGCTGCTAGATGTTCATCAGCCAGCTCTTCTCGTCGGAGAGGTTGGTTCTGGCAAAACGATGTTGTGCAAGTCTTTAGTATCACAAGCAAGAGCACACATACATTTACCAACCAGTCCAGGCCTTCACCCTTTTGACTTTTGCAAGACAGTTGAGAAAGTTAGATATAAGAAAACTCAACTACACAACAGTAAAGTCTCAAAGAAGCCAGACTTAATTCTGTTCATCGACGACCTTCATGAAGCACCATTTGGTGAGTATTTGAAGTTACAACGAATAAGCAACTGGAGTGTCATTCATATATTATCCTGTTCCATCAGTTATATTTTAATTTGAAGGCTTGATCTACTGAAAACAACCCCATAAATCTAATACTGGTTTATCTTTCTTAAAGTTTTATGCTGCTTATTATTTACCTGATGTCATGGCTGGGATTATACGATGGGCATAATTGGTACAGTCCCAGGGGCCATGCAGACTTGCAGCTCATGCGATGGGAAGATAAAAACACCAATTTAGGTTTAGGCTAAATATAAATAGTATACCTTGTTGGCAAAAGCTATTTACGCAATCTTCACCCCTCAATGTCTGATTGACATAGACAACATTAAAGATGGATTTCTGACAGGCACATTGGTGAAGGGGTGAAGCAGTGGCGCAGTAGGTAGTGCTGTCGCCTCACAGCAAGAAGGTCACTGGTTCGAGCCTCGGCTCAGTTGGCGTTTCTGTGTGGAGTTTGCATGTTTTCCCTGTGTTGGCGTGGGTTTCCTCCGGGTGCTCCGGTTTCCCCCATAGTCCAAAGACATTTGGTACAGGTGAACTGGGTAGGCTAAATTGTCCGAAGTGTATGAGTGTGTGTGTGAATGTGTATGGATGTTTCCTAGAGATGGGTTGCGGCTGGAAGGGCATCCGCTGCGTAAAAACGTGCTGGATAAGTTGGTGGTTCATTTCGCTGTGGCGACCCCGGATTAATAAAGGGACTAAGCTGACAAGAGAATGAATGAATGAATGAATGAATGAACATCGGTCTAGGTTGTAAAACGCACAGCAACATTTTTATATCAGATCGATCATAAACCCAGTTTGCCCCTTTTGCCCCCATTTTTCTTTTCTTCTCAGATTGTAAGTGGGATTATTTTCAATAAGGGGGAAACATATTTTAAAAATTAAATAATGAAAATGTAAAACATAATGTCACAAGTACCTTGTGGGTTTTTAATAATTAATATTTATTGAGTGTGTATAAACGGCATAAATTTATTGCAAAGAAACTGCAGATATTTTCACATAGTGTATGAAAAGCCTATATTAATTACCACTTGGTGTTAAAATTCTAAGTGAAATCTATTTGTATTTACATGTAGTCAGTGGTGGAAAAAGTAGTGAAAAATCATACTTAAGTAAAAGTACCATAACTTGCCTAAAAATGTAGTGCAATATTACTTAAAATATGAGTAAAAAGTAGCCCTTTCAAAAGTACTTAAGAGTAAAGAGTAGTGAGCATTACTCTGTGAAAAGCTGATGCATTTACATGTAATTTGTGGATGTGTGTAAACGTAACATTCTGACGTCCATTTAGTTATTGTCCAGCAGGCACACAATGTCATAAGACGGTAATATTAGGTTAGATTTAGGTTGTGATGTCAGGTGATCAAATTCAACGTCTAGTCAGCATCTAAGGACAACGTTATTTTGATGTCCAATAATGTTGTCAAATGACGTTGATATTAGGTTGATTTTAGGTTGTGTTGGAAAGTGACCAAAATCCAACATCAAGCCAACATCTTAAACCAGGGGTGTCAAACTCAATTCCTGGAGGGCCGAAGCCCTGCACAGTTTAGTTCCAACCCTGCTCCAACACACTTACCTGTAGGTTTCAAACAAGCCTGAAGGACTTAATTAGTTTGATCAGGTGTGTTTAATTACGGTTGGAATTAAACTGTGCAGAGCTGCGGCCCTTTTGGAACTGAGTTTGACACCTGTGTCTTAAACCAATGTCATATTGAAATTTGTTTGTCAGGTATGCCAACCAAAATCCAACGTCTGATAGACGTCATAGTTGTAAAGTCCACACAACGCCAAGCTGTAACATCATTAAACACTGATATTTGGTTGGTTTAAGGTTTGGACATTGACGTGGGTCTGATGTTGAGTTCTGATGTCAACCAGATTTTCCTTTCCAAACAAAATGCAGCATCCCCATGACCTTAGGATACGTCAGTCTGGCGTCATGTTGATGTCTTGTGCCTGCTGGTTATTTAAGCCCATTTTGGTTATCATACAGTAAACATCCGTCATCTTCTCATCAGTGAAATACATCTAAACATTCTCAGGGTCAATGTATAAAGATTTTGGACATCTTCTTGTAAAGTTTGCTGCAATATAAATCGCATGTCTTGAGGTAGTTCATTATGATGCGATTTATCTTCTATGTGCGATTTTATTGGACAGGAATAACAGGACTGATTTTTCTAATCCCCATAGACTAGAAAAAATTAAGTAGTGACTGCAAGTTGAGGGAAAGTAGTTGAGTAAAAGTACAGATGCTGCACTAATAATGCACTCAAGGGAAAGTAAAAGTACACACTTTTAAAACTACTTAGTAAATTACAATTTCTGAGAAAAACTCAGAATTACAGTAGAGTGAGTATTTGTGATTAGTTACTTTACACCAAGGCTTGTTGTTCATATATTTTCTAATACAATATACTTTTAAACATCATACACTAAAAATACACTTCAGTATTGCTTTATTGCACTTAAACAACTATGCTAAACACCTCTAATATTCATTAGTTTTATTAGTATATTTCTAAAAAGTATGCTTTAAATGCTATAAAAATAAGTTCAATCCCTGTAAGCTATAAATATATGTACCTGCTATAAGTAAATTATCCCAACTGTGATACTTAATATACTTCATATAAAGTCACTTACTGTTAAATTGTAAATTTAAGAAATATTTAAAAAGACATTAAGGCCCAGGGGCCTCTGAATTCTTAATCTGAGTCTAATTCTTGGTATTCATAAACGTCTGTTTAACACTTTTGTATTCCTTAACCCTGGGATAAAGGTCCTAATTTGCAAGTGTGTGGTATCAGTGACAGTGAACACAACATGTAACCTATTTATCTTCATGTTATATTCTGTTTATATGTCACTCTGTCTCACCTTTTGAAATTTTACCCGTAAACCACATTTTATATAAAATACAATGTGAAGTGCTGTCATGACGGTGCAAAGAATGTTACCTGATTCATGGATAAAAGCAGTGCTAATCTCATTCAGAAATTACATATATTATATTTGCAGAATGCTGATATCCTGTAAGCATTTGCATTAGCTGTTTGTAAGTTACTTTGTAGTTTATTTGTGACATAAAGGCACACGTTAAGTGTTAAAGTTATAAGTTAAATCGCCGGAATACTAAATAGTTTTGTGTTGCATCGTTGAACTCAATGATACAGTTAAATATTTAAGGAAGCCTCTGCCCATTAATAATGGTAGAAAAGAAATGACAGCAAGATTAGATTTACATTGATGAGCTTGTGATTGATAATGATGAGCCACAAATTCACACTTATTTCATCTCCCTTTGCTTACAGCCACTTGCTTTTATTTGGTTCTTTATGACCTGCCAAATCTCACAGTACTTTCAGTTTTGTGACAGAGAAGTTTAATTTTCTTTCAAGGAGTATTTTGTTTTGTTTGTGTCCATCAAGCAAAATTAAAATTTCTTCATGACTGACAGTTTACAGGGTCCCAGCAGGCACAGGACGTCAACATGATTTCAGATTGATGTTGTACTCCAATGCTGTGGCACGTTGCATTTTGTTTGGAAATGAAAATCGGCTTCACGTCAGAACCCAACGTCAGGCCGATGTCAATGTCCAACATCAGACAGATGTTGCTTTTTGGTTACTTTTCAACGCAAGCTAAAAAATATATATCAGCGTCTAATGATCTAACGTTTAGTAGATGTTACCACTATGATGTCTATCAGACATTGGATTTTGGTTGTCACACCTGACAAATAAATGTCAGTATTTGTCGTCAATATAACATTAGTTCAAGATGTTGGCTCGACTTTGGATTTTGGTCACTTTCCAACCCAACCTAAAATCAACAAAATATCAACGTTAATTTCACATCATTATTGGACGTCAACATAACATTGTCCTTAGATGCTGTTGACCTAAATCTAACATAATACAAACGTCTTATGACGTTGTATGTCTGCTGGGGTTAGTTTACCCAAAAATGAAAATCATGTTAATAACTGTTCACCTTTATGTTGTCCCAATCCACAAAGATCTTTATCTTCAAAACACAAAATAACATATTTTGGATGAGACACGAGAGCTCTCTCATCCTCCATATACAGCAATGCTCTCTTTCATTTTAAGTTTAGTTAATATAAAAAAACAAAATATAAAAAGGACCAGTGTCTTCAGTGGTTCAATACGAATATTATGAAATCCTGAGAATTTGCATGCACATAAAAGAAAAATGATGACTTCATTTAACAGTTTCTTCTCTTCTGTGTCAGTATAGGGTACACGTTCACAAACACTGTGTACTGATGTAATCCCAGATACCTGTGCGTAACTATCTCTGTTTGGAACAAAGCACAATCGCAACTGAGGTATACATTAGAGATGCAACTAAACATAAAAAGCACAGGTCTTTCATGAATGTGCACCCTATACTGACATTGAGGATATACATATAATTTTAATTAAGTTTATATTTTTGTTAAATGTACCAAAACATTAATAGTGTAGCTTGATAATATCTTTATTGAACAACTGAAGGTTTTGAGGGTGTTTTTAGTATTTTTGAATGAGTCAGTCTCATTACTGTATATGGAGGATCAGCGAGCTCTTCGGCTTTATCTAAAGTGTTTTAATTTGTATTCTGAAGATGAATTAAGCTCTACGAATTTGGAAAATAAAGACATGATAGTGAGTAATTAAACAGTTTTTTTTGTGTTAACTAACTCTTCACTACTTGATTCTGATAACTTCATGTTTGGTTCTCACATATTTGACAACCCAACCCAACAAACAATTTTGTGTTTGTAGATGTGTAATAGACATCTAAACGTAGATGGCTTGGTTAAAACAAGGCTAAACTTGGGCTGTCAGCGAAAATTTTATAGACATCTAAGAATAGCCCAAAACTAGACGCATCGTCAAATCAACAGATTAGATAGACTTTATATGTGTAGTCATTTATTTCTCTTTATTTTATTACTAGTCTAGTTTTGACCTATTTTTAAATGTCTATTAGATTTTCATTGACAGGCCACATTTTGCCTTGTTTTGGCCAAGACGACTATGTTTAGATGTTTATTAGACGTCTTTACAAAAAAAATGCTTGCTGGGTATGTTTGCAACACTTCGAATGCTTCTGATTGGATATTACGTCCTTTAGTGCAACTCTACATTATATTACAGAGAGCTTATGACTTACTATCTTCTGCTAGTTGTTATTAGGTTTCTTGCCATTAATAACAGCTAAATTTTCTCTTCTCTGCAGATGCTTGTGGAAAAACATCCAAGACTCTTGAGACACTGCGTCAGTGCATTTCTAGAGGTGAAGTGTTGGTATCAGACGGCTCTCACTTCAAGCTTTTTCAATCAAGATCCATTAATTATCTGGCCACTTGCAGTGTTCCTGAGACAAGCGACAGCTACTGGATTTCTCCACGGCTCTCTCGACTGTTTGTCATCTTGACTCTCCCAAGCATGACTTCTGAAACACTCTTTTCTATCCATTCCTCAAAACTGCAACCATGGCTGAGAGAAATACAACCAACACTGAGCGTTGCAGACAGAGCAAACTGCATTATTACCTCAACTCTTGACGTATACCTTGCAGTGCGTGAATGCTATGCTGTAACCTCGAGTCCATACTTTATCTTCTCTTTGCATGATATACATAAAGTGTTTCAAGGGATGTATCTCTGGAGGTCAAGGCTTGATGGCCAGCAGGCTCTTCGGAGTAGTCTTCAGAGTAGTTTTGGTTTTCGAAGCTCCACTTCAACTGAAAGATCAGTCTCTTCTCCATCTGTTCTTGAACATGACCTCAATATTGTCCGCCTGTGGATGCATGAGTGTTTGCGGACTTTTGGTGATCGCCTAGATTCAGAAGCTGCATGTCAAAAACTTATCTCAATCATAGCTGAAGTTTCTGAGAAGAATTTTAGCACGATGTTGTCAACTGAATCTCAAACACTTCCAGCAGATAACTCAAGCCTTACAGACATGTTATCTGTAACGAGGACATATGTAAACCAACAACTGGATTCAAGCTCTTCGCAGATGGATGAAACTTTGAATCCTTGGATTGTTAAAGCAGAAGTTCAGACAGAGAGCGAAGAGACCAATGTAGAAAGCAACTCAAGCTTGTACAGCACAGGAATTGATGAAGATGGATTCTCATACACCAATGACAATGTAAAAAAGGCTGGAAATTTTGAGAGTGATCCAGGAACATCAGAGTTGATATCTGAATCTTCAAGTTGTTCATTTCCAATGTTGTTTTCTTCTCTTTCTTCTCATTCTGTTGGAAACGATGTCAACCACAAACCATCATCACATGAAGAGTTTCTACAACGTCTACAAGAAACAGCTTCTTCCATCCAGAATGTGATTTTCAGTCCAGAACTTTGTGAAACGTCAAAAAACATTCTCCTGCATCATAATTTCAAACGCACCTGTGTGTATCAAGAAAGGAATGTTGATGTGTTGGTTGACCAGCTAGTTCATACTCTTAAAAGAGAAGAAAGTAATGAAGAAAAGTCAGAAAACACTCTCTATAATCCAACATGGGCTGTTCATCACCAGAATGTTCATCAACTTGTGCATGTCATCCGAGCTTTTCTCATTCCTGGTGGACATGGGGCTCTTTTTGGAGGAGCAAAGAAAACAGGGAGAAAGACTATTGTGCGTCTAGCAGCTGCTCTGACGGGATATCAACTAGTCGAGGTTCATTCTGGAAATGAGACAAAGATATGGGGAATGATGAAAGACATTTGGAGCCAGACTGGGGTGAATGCTGGAGATTTGGTTCTACTAGTTCACGAGAATACCAGCCAAGCTGTAAAGGATCAGCTGCTGGTAATGATGGCCAATGGAAGCTTTCCTGGACTGTATTCAGATGAAGAACTGAAGAATGTGACTCTCCGGATGAAAGCGTTGATGAAAGATGCACATTGTTATATGAAGGATGATCAAGTTCTTGAAATGTAGGGTATCAGTATCCATATGTTTTCAAATCATTCACTTTTTAAGATCAGTTTCATATAATTCACTGTTGTTGAATGACATACATAGCGGGGAAAATAAATATTGAACATGTTACCATTTTTCTCAAAAAACATTTTTCTAAAGGTGCTGTTGACTTGGAATTTTCACCGGATGTTGATAGCAACCAAATAATCCATATATACAAAGAAAACAAATCTTATTAGTTTATAAATTAAGTTATGTGCAATAAAATGAAATGACACATGTTAAAAGTATTGAACACATGAAGAAAGGGAGGTGTAGAAAGGCAGTGAAAGTCAGACAGCAGATGAAATCTCTCAGTAGTTTTTCAGCAACCCTCTAACCTTCGTCATTGTAAATTAATATTAGCTCCTTCAGTCCAACATCTACCTTAGCAGGATGATGAAGATGAAACCAGGGTGGACATTTCAGTGAGACAATGATCCAAAACACAGCCAGGGAAACCAGCCAGAAAAAAAAGGTTGCAACATAGGCTCATTCTAAAAACATAGTCCTATATACGTTTCTGGAGACGGTAAATTATGTAGCCAGAGGTACGTATGGCTGCATTTCATTTTTTAAACGATTGCTACGGTGCGGTATGACGCCATTCCTTTTTGTGCTTACTAGCTGACCGCTTACCTTAGTATAAACTGCTTTCCCGCTGTTACCAGTTTGTCCTGTTAGTTCGACATGTACGTCGGCAGACTTGAGACACAGAAAGGAGTTGAGCACGACAACGGTTGAGTCCTGTGAAGAACGATTCCAGAAAGCGTGCAAGACAAAAACAGAATCCAAAAAATAAAATAAACAAGTAAATAACAGGGTGAGAATATCGTAAAATCTGAAAACGTGGTAAAAATCAGACAAGGGCTTTTCTTTTTCTGGATTGCTTTTGAAAATTGTTGGTTGGGTTTAGGGCAGTGGGTGGTTGGGTTAATCAATAACATTGGTTGGGTTTAGGGAAGGAAGAGGGTGGGTTAGCTGATTGGTCGGTCAGTCATTCAGTCAGTCAAACAGTCAGTCAACAGCGGCCTCTGGTGGGTTTACTCAAGAACAGCAGGCGCAAATGTCACTCGCGAGACAAACTTGGGATCTCAAAAAGGGTACACAGTGGCCTCTCTTGGATTTGTGAAAACAAAAACTGCAAAAAAACAAAAAACAAAAACGTGATAGATGAGACGCACATAACCGTCAAGATTTTTACACTCTGTTGAAGTCTGTAAAAAAATAACACCTGAGCAATGCATGTGACTTCATTCATATGTTTGTTATTCTCATTTTTATGTTTGTATTGTTTGGGTTTTTACCAAAATCTGATTCAATTCCAGGTTAACAGCTCCTTTAGAAATATTATTTCCAGGAAAAAGCATGACATGCTCAATAATTATTTTTTTCCTGCTGTATAATGCATGAATAATAATGTTTAATAATTTTCCATTCTCAACATTTTGCAATTTGGATTTGCCATTGAAATGTCAGATTATGTACATAATATAGAAAGAAGATCAAACATAGAAACCACTTATTTAAAAGTATGGCTTATAATTATGAATAAAGCAATAGTCAAATCATAGTTCATAAATTAATAAAAAAAAAATCTTGAATACTGGCAGATAACCAATATATCATGAGTGTTGAAAGTTGAGTCTTAGTAATATATTTTTTTTTTCATGCAGTTATTTCAGAAACATCCAAAGAAGTACACATGTATTTCTCCTTTATCCTTTCCCCTGGGACAAATCTGAAGAAAAAATCCTTGTGAAATCTTGCAGCTTTCTTCCACATATCACCAAGGCTTTGAGTATCTGCTGTTGTGTAGAAGTGTTTCAACCTTGGACCTCTGAAGCTTTAGTTGAAAGTGCTTTGTATCATTTAAAAGCCAGTCAGCAGATTCCTGAGACAGCTGGTACAGGTGAAATGATTTAATTCAATTCTTATTCTACCCCTAATTTTAAGTGATTTAACACATTTGTTTTTTGCCTCTGTATTGTTGAATTTCTAGTTGCCAAGGATAACTTAGCAGCTAGTATTTCTAAGGCAATGGCAAGGATACATTTATTAGCTTCAAAATATGCTGTCACGCTTCTTCATCTTCAACCGTTTGGCTGTCGGTCCTACGTAGAGCTGATGGTTCAGTTTTTCTTTTTCTGTCACCACCTGTTTGAGAAAAACAGAGTTCAGGACAGCCGGTAAGGGGAGCTAATGTATTAATACATTCACTATCATCCAAACATTTAGGATCATATTCATTATAATAATATAAATGACATTTACTTGACAAAAATCTGATATTTATTTGACTACATTACTATTTTAAGTATGTTTTTAATCAAATAAATACAGCCTTAATTAACATTAAGCTTTGTTTACACCACATGTGGAATTAAGTTTGCATCCGACTAAGTTATATACAAAATCAATACAAACATGCGAATCGAGGTCAATTAAATTATTAATAACATTGAACGATCCATTTTTCTAAAATTGTATTATTTACATGTGTTTACATATTAGGTTGGGGAAGGTTCTAGCACATGTGAAGGACATGACAGACACAGCTGCAAGGCACACTCAGAAAGTTCTGACCTTTAGGGCCAAATGTGAAGAAAAACAGAAGGTACGTCTCAGTCTTGTCGTCTTTATTGTTATAGCACTTAATGCAGTAGAGACTACTTCAAAGCAACTTTTATTATTAAACAGGAAAGTAACAGATTCAGAGAGACAAACATCAAAAAATGGTGCATGTGGCTGGATATAAACCAGCTTTAGCAAGACAATGGTGGGTCTGTTCAGCTGTTTTGGCTCCGTTCAATTCAATATTCAGCTAAGTCCAGTGCTGCCAATATATACTGAATAACAGTACCATTGCATGTGTAAAACAAAGGGGGAAAATCAATTTCATGGTTACAGTTTTTTACAATGGCTATGACAGTTTTTTTTAATACATTTAACAAGTTTGCTAAACTCTTAACGCATCAACACACCTAAAACACACAATTGACAAAACAGTTAATTTCATGCTCAAAATCAAACATTGTAAACTAAACCTCTAAACTTCTTTTCAAAATACAATAATAAACTAACACACTACACCATGTCTAACAAAACACTGTAAACATGTTTCAAAATGACATATTTGTTCAAAACACAAACACATGTTCTCTTTCAACAGAAACATTCAGTCAATCAGAAAACACTGACAATAAAAACACTATCATCAGTTAAAATTACAGACACTGCATTAGTTTATATGTCAGTTCTGCCCTTATATTTGAAGACTCTCTACATTTTCATTTTGTTGGGTTTAGTAAATGCAGGCATTTTCTTTCTTTTACTGCAAAAATTCAATACAAAAATAAAGAAAAAAATTGCTTTATAAAATTAAAGTTTATGTTAAAAAATACAGACACAGAATTGCTGCAGTACAGATTTAATTTTGCAAAAGGACATCACTGCAAGATATACAAACAGAAAAAGCATTGCAATTATAATAAAAAAACAAAATAATTTTCTATTCTGCCTGGTCTTCTGCATTTGCCCGACTTCTTCTCTGGCCCGGCATGGTAACAATGGCCCTTTGGCCTATTATGTTTCTCCTACGACGATACCTTTTCGCTTAGTTGAAGCCAGCCTCTTCAACATAGATAATTTCATGTGGGACTTGATTGACCTCTAACTTTCTCTAACATTCTCTAAAAGTGATTAGACACAGTGTAAATGCTTTACTGTACTGTATAACTATTGTATGTACTAATGAACGGCAGGTTTATAGAGTAGCTTACTGCAAAACACACTGTGCATAGTAAAGTAATCACTGTATTGCATAACCTTACCTGGACGTATTGGTGACAGAGTTCTGTAATATGCTCACTGTTCCTTTCAAAAACCTCATGAGTCCTTTTTTAGAACATACAGTATGATCATGTGATTTGAAAAATGTCAACACATGAGTGTGGTTTCTAGATGGGAATCATGTTCATATGTCATATATACAGTATATGACAGCTGATTCCCATCTAGAAACCACACTCATGTGTTTTGGTTTTTCAAATCACATGATCATACTGTATGTTCATATATATATATATATATATATATATATATACAGGGAATATATTTGTGTTTCAATTGACAATATGAACAGCTGATCACTTTGGCTTTAGCCTATATAGGTTCTGTTTAGAACATGATGTTATCTGTTCTGACATACTATGTGAAAGCATTGGTAAATTGAACTGTAAAATTACATAGTTTTGGTTTTGGTTGAGTTTGTGTGTAAAAGAAGTTCAAGCATTTTAAATTTGTGTTAACTGGATGCATTTTGTGTCAAAGCAACAAGAAATGTGTTAATTGTATAGCCCACGAAGACGGATGTTGTGCTAACCGTGTTAAGAGTTTAGGAAACTTGTTAAATGTATTGAAAAAAGTGTCATAGCAATTGTAAAAAACTGTAATAACAGAGCTGCAGGATATGGCAAATGATGATTTTATGAAATAAGCAATTTTTCTATGTTCTTTAATTATGCATTTAGAGAAAATCAAGTAAATTTTTTTTTATTTCTCCCTATTGTATGTTTCCGTGTATCTATAGTGTATTGACCAGCTGCAGAAATTGGTAAATCCTGCACAGAAAATCTGGGAACAAAAGCACCACCAAAGTGTTCAGGAAGAAAAATGGCTTTCTAATCTAGAAGATAATTTGCTCCGAGTTCAGCAGCAAGTTCAAGACGCTTTTAAACAGGTCTGCTCTGATTAAATGCTTTTCTCAACTCAATTGCGATGGTTTAAACTTGATAGTATTCCAGAATGTTAATTTTTAAACTTACGGGTTTAAGAAAATTGGTTTCCTCGAAAATTGTTTGTGTGTAGGTGAGTCCGCTGTACCAAGCCGCTCTGGAGGCTCTGCAGGCTTTGAGCCAGTCAGATTTGGATGAGATTCGACACTACAGGATGCCGCCTGATGGAGTCGTCATGGTCATGGATATTATATGCATGTTATTCAACCGTCCATGTGGCTGGGACAGTAGCAGACAACTTATGGTGCAGTCCAGCTTTTTTCAGGTTAATTCTATTCAATTCGTCTTTATTTCTATAGTGCTTTTTTACAATGTGGATTTTGTAAAAGCAGCTTTACATAGATAAAGTTCAGTTCAGGTTAATTAAAACAATCCACTGAACCCTAAGAAAGAATTTGGTAAAACTTTCTATGAAGCCTTATTTATAATATTTTATAAGGGTATTCTTGTATTGCAACATATTAAAATGCATGCATTTTGTGGCTAAAGTAAGTAAAATTCTCCAAAAATGGTTTTGGAAGTTAATTTCCAACCATGTCAATTGGCTCTAATTTGTTTTGTAATTTTTTGTTTTTGACCATATTTGGTAGGGTAATGAATATTAATGAGCTCTACTCTCCTTTGAACTCTGCTCACACGCACACATACATTGGCCTTAATATGTTATGGTTGGTTTCAACCGTATATGGAAGAGTCATAAATATTATTGAGCTCTGCTTTGCTTTGAGCTCTGCTCAGACACATACACATGCTCAAACAGTGTGTTCAGTTTACAAAAAATATTTGAATGAATTGAGTAGAATACTTGTTAAATGACAAGCTTTTCAACTCAAGTGGTAGAGAGATTTTTTTTTAACTAGAAGAAGTGAGCTGCCTTTAAGCCACCAGAGTAACCTTGTTAGCTCCTGAGGTCTGTTGTGGATTAAATATAGATTCAGTTATAATTATACTCAACAAAAGTTTCAGACAGAGATATGTTTACAGATGTATTTTGTATAGTTTTAAAGTACATGAAAACACAGGCAAGAATTAACATCAACCTTTGTATAGACACGATTTTCAGAAAATTTATTGAAAAGTAAACAGGAAGTTTATTGACATTCTTTCACTCTAGAAAACTCACAGTAAGAAGTGTTATAAAACAACGTAAGTGGATTAAACACTTAAGGCTTGTACAAACACGGGGATGCTTTTCATTTACGTTTATCATCAGCATTTTTCTAGACTTTTTTTTTGGATTCAAACCTAAGCGATTTACACTGGCGTGGAGCAGAAGAGTAGGCAAAATCACCCCTTGATGTTAGATGGCACTACACAACTTTAGGCTTCTGACACCCGCTTGTAACACAGAAGAAGACAGAAAGTTGACGCACTTGTTGTTAAAGTTGCTGGTGATTTGAACAAGCATGGATGGTTCAAGTAGCAGCTCCAGCTCAAGAAATGATTGTTGTTCAACAAAAAGTGTCCAGGTGTGCACTAGGGATGCAACAATACAGTTAGCTCACTGTTCAATACATATCTTGGTTTGTTAACACAGTTTTCTGTTCAGTTCGGTTCTCATGGCTTGATACGTGTGTGTTTTTATTCTATAGGCAATAGGAACAGTAAGAGATTAAGGAGAAAAAAAAATATTTATTGCAATACTCATTTTGTTTTACTTAAGAGCCAAGAAAATTACATTAGTTCCTAGTGTATTATATAAAAAAAATTAACACTGAAATCTCACAGCTGCTGGTAGCCCATGTACAAACTGGGGAACACATAAAATCCTACACTTTGAAAATAAACATACATGTGAAGTTAATAAAGATAAATTAGCCATTTAAAAAAAAATATTTGTACTTAAGTAAAAATAAATAAACCATCTTAATTATCTCTGTGCTGAAAAAATGCGAGACTGTAGTCTGTGCGCGGATCGAGTGCTTTTTATAAATTGACAAAAGCTTGCATCAATCACCGAAAATGGCTGCAAATTTTTAGCAATAAACAGCTGCACTGCCTTTGTTATTTTTATGTATCTTTTGGAACCAGTTAGGTAGATTGAGTGAGGGATTGTTGCTGTTTGGAGGACTTAATTACCTTCTCTGCTATCCTGCCTTCAGACAGTGATATTGCTGGGTGATGGCGCTGCAGATGTGCAGTCATGGTTATGCGTGTTAAACAATGCTTGCACACAGTCATTTTTTGTTCACCGTTTTTTTTTTTTTATTGGCATTATGCTTACCGGCAAAACCGAAATGTCCTCACTCCGCAGATTTGAAAGACGCCAGGGCTTACTCGTACTATGGCCTCACTTCGCCGGCGCTTCCTTGTACTGTTGCCTCAGCCTCACTTCACGATGGTCAAGCGCCCCCTAACTTTAGAGCATAGTGATTGGATTTTTACTCGCGGGGAGGAGTTTTCTCATCTCAGCTCATGGATTTAGAGGCACACACAGTCAATTCGGGGAGATATAAAACGCACATGAATTATTTAAACGCAAAACCGAGAAAACCGCAATTCACAAGCTCGTATTGAACTGTGGAGGTCGTACCGTACGGTTCAATATTATATTTAGAACCGTGGCATCCCTAGTGTGCACCGTCCTTTACACTCAACAATTTCTGAATATACATACAAGCAAAGATTTAAAAATACCTTACACCTTATGCCTTATGTTCAGGGTAACATTGAATGAACTTCTACATCCAGCATTTTGCATTCTCACTAGCTGTGAACACTCTTTATCAGATGGTACTAGAAATTATAGGCTAAGGTCTTTTATAAGAGATTCTGCATGTACAAAGAAGACTCTTCTGAAGCATTATGCATTTTGGATTCATAGAAAGTGTTACAATTTATTTTTTAGTTTGATTATTGTTTTTGACATTTTACATAAGCATTTCTTTTTCTACACCATCAGGAACTGGAATTTTTCGACTGCTCTAAATTAACCAATCAGACAATTCAAAAGTTGGGTCACATCATACAGACACCTTGTTTTCAGCCAGACTCTGTACGAGATATGAGTCGGGCTTGTGAGTCTTTGTGTCGCTGGGTGAGAGCAGTATACCAGTATGCTTGCATACAGCGCCACATTGCACCCCAAAAGGCTAAAAAGCAAGATTTGGACTATCTCATGGCCGAAAGTCGAGAAAGGCTGAGTGTTTTGAGGCTACAGATGGAGTCAGAGCGGGAAAGACTAGATGAACTGGAGAGACAGCAGGAGCTCAACAAACAAGACATGGAGTTGCTGAAGGCCCAACTCAGTACCGCTGAGGCTCAAGAGAGGGAGTCATGTGCTATTCTTAAACTGGCTGAACATCACATTAAAGACTGGATATCAGAAGGAAAGGTGGGTGAAGTTTTTGCTGTAAATATTACTATACAAGCAATTACTTACTTTACACCACTGCTTGTAGTTCATTCATTCATTTTCTTGTCGGCTTAGTCCTTTTTTAATCCGGGGTCGCCACAGCAGAATGAACCGCCAACTTATCCAGCATGTTTTTACGTAGCGAATGCTCTTCCAGCCGCAACCCTGGGAAACATCCACACACACACACACCTGTACCGCATGTCTTTGGACTGTGGGGAAAACCAGAGCACCTGGATCCACGCAAACGCTGATGAAGATGAAGTCAGAATTATTAGCCCCCCACAGATTCAGGAATTTTTCACAGTATTTCCTATAATATTTTTTTGTTCTGGGGAAAGCCTTATTTGTTGTATTTCAGCTAGAAGAAAAGCAGCTTTTAATTTTTTATCTATTTTTTCGATAGTCTACAGAACAGACTGACCTTATACAACAACTTACCTAATTACCCTAACCTGCCTAGTTAACTTGATTAACCTAGTTAAGCCTTTAAATGTCACTTTAAGCTGTATAGAAGTGTCTTGAAAAATATCTAGTAAAATATTATGTGCTGTCATAATGGAAAATATAAAACAATTCAGTTATTAGAGATACGTTATTAAAACTTTTACGTAAAAAAATGTGTTGAAAAAATCTTTTCTCCATTAAACAGAAATTGGGGGAAAAATAAACAGGAAGCGAATAATTCAGGACGGCTAATCATTCTGACTTCAACTGCACGCAGAGAGGAAAGAGTGTTTATCCTACAGGTGGTTTATCAAACCCACTCACTGGCGTGAAGTACATTCAGAATTGCACAATATTTTCCAGAACAAATTGAATTTTTATAAAAAAGTGTCTGGGGCATATGGAAAGGGAAATAGTAGTCTTTTTCCTACTAGTTGTTCAAATGAATCTTGTCAACAAATTATTTGATATTTTACAGGAAGCAACATTGGCTAATCAAAGCATTCCAGGTGATGCCCTCATTTTGGCAGCTGCAGTTACTTACTTGGGTCCATTTGGCCCTGATGTTCGACAAGAGCTGCTCCTGAAGTGGCACAAACTTTGTCTGACTGGGGAAATGAATATGACTCTGGAGGACCCTCGTGCTACACTTCTGGATGATGTTCCCTTTGCAACTTGTGATCACTATGTGGCCATTCCCGTCAGTAAGACATTTCAAATTGCTTTCAATCAAATACTTGGACTAGATCTGCATCACATACATGAAGATTCCTCTGATCTGGTCCGAAGTGTCCTTCTCTGGGGGAAAAGAGATACTCGAGCACAACGTTGCTATTTATTGGCAAATTGTCATAAATATGAGGAACCCAACTCTCAGACATTGTTTTCTTCTGGTTAGTATAATTTTTTTAAACCATGATATACAGTTAAAGACAGAATTATTTGCCCCCTGTTTATTTTTTCCCCAATTTCTGTTTAAAGGAGAGATTTTTTCAACACATTTTTAAACATAATAATTTTTAATAACTAATTTCTGCTCTGTTAAACATAGTTTTCGAAATATTTAAAAAAGAAAAAAATCAAAGGGGGGCTAATAATTCTGGCTTCAACTGTATATAGTGAAATTTTTACTCTTTTTCAAATATTTTCCAAGTGATGTTTAACAGAGCAAGGACATTACACTGTATTTCCGGTAACATTTTCCCTTCTGGGAATTTCTTTATTTTGGAAGGAATAAAAGCAGTTTTTAAATTTTCCTAAACTAATTTTGATATTAATATTATTGTTACATTTAGTTCTGACAACAGGGTTGAGAATAAAACTGCAGTGTCTTTACTGATAGAGAATAGTAGTGTTGTGACACGGTGGACCAAGGGTTTAAAGCGTTTATCAAAAAAATTATGCATCTCGCAGTGAAGCAGTGTATGGGAGCTTGATTCATTTTGCCATGACCATGTTTTCAGTGACATCTGAAGCTTAATTTTCGCTTATACTCACGTGACTGCTTTGAATTTTGAATTCAAAGGTTTAAACACCCTTGTGAGTTAGTAAAGTGCATAGCGAGAGATTAGGCATCGATTACATGCATTTCAGCTGTTTCAAAGCACTGCACCGGTCACACACACCAGTAATTAAACTAAAATACAATAGTAATTTATTATACGTTTTTAAACCACATTAAGGTGTATTAGTGTGTTATTTATGGCTATTTTTAAAAAAGGCCACTGCTTATTGGGGTATAGTGTGTAACGGAGGCTAGCTGGCGAGTGCCTCACTCTCATAGCCTCCTCCTTTTAGCACTCGCTTACCATGCAGGAATCCCTTGTTTGATCCCCGCTTGGAACAAGTGGTTAGGTATAGGACTGGTTGTAATATGATAAACATAAATACTTTTGAATACCTTGGATTTCATTACAGTTATCGGTGGTGTAATGTAACATACCTTATATGTAATAGACTACGATAATTGTAATGGTTAATAATTGATGGTAATTTGTTTATGTTACTTTTGTTGTATTACTACATTAATGAGTTTGTAAGTTGTCATTGTTTGATATTTTTGCAACACAGTGCTTTCCCACACTTTAACCAGCAGAGGTCCTCATCGAGCTCTGATTTGGAAAGCTTCGAGTAAAGAACCTTTTTCCAATACACTTGAGTCAAACGGTTCACAGGTTTAGAAAGCTTTATTTTACAATCACTAAAGATTAGGCAGGCTGGCAATGGTTAATCACAGGAGCAAACAGAATCATAAAGGGCAATTGAAAAGAGTAGTCAAAGCAGGCAAGAGATCGGTTCAGGCGGCTAACATAACACAAACTAGATTAGGGTCTGGAAACATGACATGGACAAACAAGGCAAGGTAAAGGCTTCGTAATGTTTACAGATTAACAAGACTCAACACTGTTTGTGTGCTATAATTTGGTATATAAATAGTCCATAATGGGTTACCAGCTGTTTGTGTAATCAGTGAAAATGGAGAACAGGTGTGTGCGAGGTGCATGCTGGGAGTTGGAGTTTGTTAATCGTGGCTAAATTGCACTTCTATAGCAATCTGTAGCTGTTAGATTGCTGGTCATCGTAACAATTATTAGCTTCCATAAGATTTTTTGGCTACAAAACAAACCACTGTTGTCTAATGACTTGCATATTTAACCTAATTTAAGTTACATAAGCTAGTTAAGCCATTATTTGCCACTGTGTCTTGCAAGTAACTAAAATTTTAATATATTGTCACCATGGCAAAGACAAAAGAAATTTGTTATTAGAAATAACTTATTAAATATATTATGTTTAAAATGTGTTGAAAAAAACTTCCGTTAAACAGCAATTGGGAAATATCTTCAGAATTCTGTTAATTTTGACTTCAACTGTATGTGTAAGCTTAGAAATGTCATTAAGTTATTGTTAGTTTTCTTTGTAGGTCAGTCTAAAAGTCATGCAGAGGCTAAATATGGACTTACAGTTTCTTCTGATGATCCAGAGTTACTTGATAAACTGAATCATGGAGCGAAAGAAGGTCAGTCTTTTGCAAAGTCTTCCTCACTTTGATCTTCAGATTCTTTTTTAAAATGTGACATATTTAAGTGTAACTTTCTTTCATCTGCTTCAGGTCTAAGAGTATTGGTGAAGCATATTGAACGAGCAATACCAAATCTGCAAGTCCTTCAGGCATTTGTAACACCAGAAACCTGTGGTAATAGCCACACAGTTCAGTCTGCTCATCCTGACTTTCATCTTATTATGAGCACTTCCCTTCCAATCCGAACTCTGATACAGGGTAAGTGATTGTGGATGTTACATCATGATTTTTTTTGTATGGTGCTTTTTTAAATTTTCTTTTTACAATAATTATAACGAGCAGCATATATTTAGTTCAATGCATTTAAAAAACAATACTGTTGATCAAAAACAGTTGTTGCTTTTTAATTCTGATAAGACCAACAAAGGCTCATTCTGAAAACGTAGCTCTATGTACATTTCTAGCGATCGCGAATTATGTAGGCAGAAGTACGTATGGCTGTATTTCATCTTTTTAATAAACGCTACGATGTGGTATGATGCCGTTCCTTTTCGCACTTACCAGCTGACTGCTTACCTCTGTATACACGGCTTTCCTGCTGTGCTAAATACACACTTTAGAGCTTCCTTAAATCGGCGACAGAAAGAGCTTGCACTGATGCAGACTTGAGCACCGAACTCGCTCTGGAAGTCCCAGAAGTCATTGCGACTGGAGGTGGGAAGCGCTACATTTTATCTAGATTTATTATTAAAGTTCATAGATATGAACTATTTACCTCAGGAGTTTCTCTAAATGAAACGGTGAAAGTAAACATTACCATGGACATCTTAATAAAGGAATAAACACATTAAGGGTGTTTGTTTGCTGAAATTCATATTAAAATCTGTTTTATTTATATTGTGCAGCATATATTTATAATGTTTTTATGCAAAGTATATATATTTTGAAAAGGGGAAAAACAATAAATCATTGTATGAAGGCTGTAATGTTTAAATAATTTACCATTTAAAACACGTGAAGGTCATGTGACCATCAGAAAGAACGCAGCATCCCATTTCTCAAAGGACGCGTTCTCTGCCCTCACGGTCTCCTGAGTTCGTTCTTCCGTGGACAACTGGCAAGACCGGTCTCCACAAGAACACAAGTCCGTTCTCTGCGTTCTTGGAATTGAGAAACCTTCCTGCAGATTTTAGTTGCAACCCATATCAAACACACCTGCCTGTAATTATCATATGGTGTTCAGGTCCTAATTAATTGGTTCAGGTGCAACTGAAATCTGCAGGGAGGTGGCTCTCCAGGAACAGGGTTGGTCACCCCTGCTCTAAACAGTCACTACTTTTAACACAGGCTCTCCAATGTTCAATACTCTGCATGTTGTGTTTGTTCATTCAGAAAAGTCCTGCATTTACAGGATCAGTGGTTTACATAATCCTTTTATCATACAAATACAACAGGAACATAACTTTAAAACACCAGCACACAAGATACACATCGTTTCAATAAACAATCATTGACAATCTTTAAATATTGTTATTTAAAAATATGAAACAGGTTTCGTTATGGTTTATACATACAGTAAGAGGGAACAGTTCAGATGGTGGAATCAGTGAACTAAAGTTTTATTCATTCAATCATAATGTAGGTTTACTGCAAAAAATTAATTAATTCATTCATTTTGGTTTAGTCCCTTTATTAATCAGGGGTCGCTACAGCAGAATTTACCGCCAACTTATCCAGCACATGTTTTACGCAGTGGATGCCCTTCCAGCGCCGCAAACCATCACTGAGAAACCCATACACACTCATTCGCCAACATACATACACTATGGACAATTTAGCCTACCTAATTCACCTGTACCACATGTCTTTGGACTGTGGGGGAAACCGGAGCACCCGGAGGAAAACAACGCGAATGCAGGGAGAACGTTCAAATTCCACACAGAAACGTTAACTGACCCAGCCGAGGCTCAAATCAGAACCTTCTTGCTGTGAGGTGACAGCACTACCTACTGCGCCACTGCGCCCTTGCTGCAAAAACAAACAAACAAACAAACAAACAAACAAACAAACAAACAAACAAACAGATTAGAAAAGTTAAAAGTGTTTCTCACTGCATGTCCCCATATCGAAAGCTGATATATTGCAACATAAGCACACTACATGAGGACTTAACATACTGTTTATTAAATGTCATAAATGTATACAAATATTATTCATTTATTCATTTTCTTGTCGGCTTAGTCCCTTTATTAATGCGGGGTCGCCACAGCGGAATGAACCGCCAACAGGGAACCCATGCGAGTGCAGGGAGAACATGCAAACTCCACTCCAAGCTCCAACTCCAAACCAGTGACCCAGCAATCTTCTTGCTGTAAGGCGACAGCACTACCTACTGCGTCACTGCGTTGCCATATCATATATATTGTACTATTGTATTAGGTTGCGGCCAAAAGGGCATCTGCTCTGTAAAACATGTGCCGGAAGAGTTGGCGGTTCATTCCTATATATACATAACATGAATAACATATATGTATACATAACACAATATATATATATAAATACAGTTGAAGTCAGAATTATAAGCTCTCCTTTTAATTTTTTTTCCCGTTTTTTATATTTCTCAAATGATGTTTAACAGAAGGTGATTCAGTGGCACAGTAGGTAGTGCTGTCGCATCACAGCAAGAAGATCGCTGGTTCGAGCCTAGTCTGGGTCAATTGGCGTTTCTGTTTGGAGTTTGCATGTTCTCCTTGCGTTCGTGTGGGTTTCCTCTGGATTCTCCAGTTACCCCCACAGTCCAAAGACATGTGAAACAGGTGAATTGGGTAGGCTAAATTGTCCATAGTGTATGAGTGTGAATAACTGTGTGTGGATGATTCCCAGAGATGGGTTGAGTCTGGAAGGGCATCCGCTGCGTAAAAACGGGCTGTAGAGGTTGGCGGTTTATTCTGCTGTGATGACCCCAGAGTAATAAAAGGACTAAACCAAAAAGAAAATGAATGAATGAATGCTTAACAGAGCTTATTTGTTTTATTTCGGCTAGAATAAAAGCAGTTTAACCACCCTAACCAGCCTAGTTAACCTAATTAACCTAGTTAAGGCTTTAAATGACAAAGATAAATCATGACAAAGCTAAAATAAATCTGTTATTAGAAATGAGTTAATAAAACTATGATGTTTAGAAATGTGTTGAGAAAATCTTCTCTCCATTAAACTTAAATTGGGGAAAGAAATATATATATATATATATATATATATATATATATATATATATATATATATATATATATATATATAGTTGAAGTCAGAATTATTAGCTCCCCTGAATATGTCAGATTTCTGTCCTGGGATGTGTGTTTCCATCAGTTTGACCTTGTGGATTTGGCGACAGGTTCTCCTCCACATCACAGTGGTGTTTTCATTAGTCAAACATCTTGGAAAGAAACTTTTGTCAATGTGAATTCAGGCCTGACTTTGGTCTGCTATTATTCTGTGATTGGACTTTCTTACATACAGTAATGTCAAGTATGAAACATTTTTTCATTTTGTTTTTGTTTTTGAAAGTGACAACTAAAATGTTCAACTCCCCGATATTCCTAACTATGTTTAATTTCATGATTTTCAATGTTTGGGACCACATGCTGTAATATCTTAAAAAAAATATAAACTTTTATAGCTACAGTATGAAATATATATTTTTTCCACTCACACTTTTTGGCCACAGCCCAGTTTGAAAACCCCTGCTGCAAGCAGTATACTGTTTTATAGGTTTTTAAAACTTTTTTCTCCACATTTTCCTGCTAGAAATTCATCCTTCATTTCTCGAGGAGGTTCAAATGATTGATCTTTCTCCAAGCACATCTGAAGTTCGGGACCTGATTCTGACAGAACTGATGCAGACTGAATGTTCAGCTCTATGGACTCTACATCATCGAGTACAAACAAAAAAACAGATACTTCAGCATAAACTTTCTGAGAACAAGGTCAGCTTGTCAAAAAGTTTTTTTTGAATGTTCAGTTTTATAAGCATAGGTCCTAATGTTTATTTTTATGATGATTGCAGTTTTCCTTGATGGAGTATGTCATGCATGCCTCTACACCACTTCTCCAGGACCCTCAGTTCCTTCCACAGGTCTATATGTGTCAGAGTGTCTCTCTCGGACTTGAAACAGAAATCAAGGCGCTATCTCAACAGATAGATCAGCATAAACCCCTAATGACTGATTTTTATCAAATAGCAGAGCTCACCACATCCCTTTACAATGCCCTGCAGGACGTGGCCCAGCTGTCCCCCTGTTATCTTTTCACTCTTCATGGTTTCCTGCTCACTTTGCGGTCAGCTTTAGCCATGGAGAGCCCAGACGGGAGAGAGACGGAGCTCAGAGCAGGCAAATCTGAGATTACCTACAGGATTGTCTCTCATATCTTTTCCCAGTATAAACCCTGCTTGTTCCAGAGCCATTCCACTTTATTCAGATTATTGGTATCTTTTGCCATTATTGAGCACAATGAGGGCTGCCCTGAGGTAGAACGAGTCATTTTCCTCAGAGGATTAAGCAACTGGGAGTCTTCAGAGCATTTTTTATCAGCGTCAACACAGTCTATCCCCGAGCTGCCAAGCTGGATTCAAACACAATCTCCAGATGATGTTTATCTGTTACAGACGATTGCACCCTTCAGGGGTCTTGTGTCCTCTCTTGTGAATTCATCTAGACTGTGGCAGAAATACCTGCGCTTTCCTTCCTCTACGGTGATTGGACCAGTGCCTTGTCGATCTCACTCTCATTTGTCCACACTACAGCGGGCCATTCTCTGGAAGACTCTGTGTCCTCATTGGCTAGCAGCAGTGGAAGAAGACCTCATGGCCTGTGCGAATGGACACATGCCTCAATCATATACTGGAGACCCCTCAGTGACCTCAGTGGAAAACATCTCCAACCTACTGTCCAAACATGAAGGTCCTGTAGTTGTGTGTTTACCAGATATGACCAGAGAAGCAGCAGTGAGCATCCACCCTCTCCACTTGATTAAACAAATTGCACAGTGCCAAGTGGACAACAAAAGGGTAAGTTTTTTGAGATCACATATAGGGGTATAAATGGGCTGTCCAGTAATGTTATGACCTGTCATTGACTCTCCTAGGCCCCGTTTACACTGCCAGTTAAATGTGACCCAATTCAGATTTTTTTCTCATATGTGACACAGATTGGATCTGTTCTATGACCATGTAAACACGAAAAAAAAAAAAAAAAAACGTATGCATTCGGATATTCAGGGATTGATTTCAGGCCTCCTTCATATGTGGGAATAAATCATAGAGGAATAAAACATAGAGGAGGAAAGTGGTCAGTCGCCACAATTTGCTCCCACCTGACCTGAGATCTCTCTTGTACCCACAAATTCCTCTGAATGGTGAAGAACACCATATATAAACCATAGGCACAAGCTGCTACGATAGCTCTTTCCCTCAGCCTTGGCCTCCGCATAATTTAAAAGTTGGGTAAACTTCACATATTTCGCAGAGAAAACATTTTACAGGTAACGAAATCTAAATCTCGGACTTTCCTGAAATAAAAATGAGCAAGGTGTGAAGCACCAGAAGCGGACCATATTAAATTAATTTGAATATATTTTGGCTATTGTTGATATCCAGGAAGAATTAATTATTATTGTATTATTATTATTATTATTATTATTATTATTATTATTATTTTGTTTAAATTATTATTTTTTATTGAACTGGCCAAATTGTGACTGAGGACAGTTGAATGTGCTGGCCAGTTTGTTTTTTTATCTAATAAATGATAGTAGGCTACAGTTTTTTTTTTTTTACTTTAAAACTTTAACAATTTACAATTTTTTTCTAATGATATATGATGTAATAAATTTGTATTTAAAAAATTTGTCTTGTTTTTTTTCAAAAAAAATTTTTAATTGCATTTTTAAAAAAAAAAAATTTATATTCAATAACACATACTGTATGACAACCACCTGTAAGTCAATGGAAAAGTGGTTGTTCCTTGCGCCACCTGGTGGCTATTGCGTAAAGCACAGAAATGTTTTTTATATATATATAATGAAAAGGTGGATTTTACAGCCGCAGTATTGCGCGTGACTGCGGTTGACAAATTGCAGTATTGCGCTGCAATACTATAAACACTGGTTCCCAGTAGCCATATCTGTAGGTTGCTTGAGTGAATATAAGTTCCCCTTCGGGGGGAACTTCAGCACTATAAGTGGATTTGATTGTAAAATCCACGCATTGGGAGGTTCGGTTCAGAAGCTACTCGTCTGAAAGAGTATTGAACGGGCCAATTAAGAATGAATTGGCAGCGCAAGCCTGCGCAGGTGAGCGGCATAAGCAATCAACTGAGTATATAAGCTCACCTGGCGCCAGCAGACGCTATCCTTTTCGCTTCAGAGACTTTCTGATCGAATCGATGAGGGTTCCTCCTGCTGTGACCAGCGATTCTGAGCGAACGAGAGCATTCTCCCGGTCCAGAGTGTGTACACGCAGTGGCAGACGGTCGAGCTGGGTTTCTCCCTTGCCTGGCGTTCTTTGGGTCCGGTCCTCCAGAGCGGTGCGTATAAAGTTGCAAACTTCACAGAAAGAGCAACACAGTCGTGCAGCACGTCCTTATCAGGACGGCGCTCAGACTGTGCGTTTCTGGATGCGGTGGTTTCCTGTCCTCGGATGATGGGCGCGGGCACTGCGTTGCATGTCTGGGGGTCCAGCATGTTAATGCGCTGCTCGCGGACAGTTCATGTCGTCATTGCGATGCCATGACTGTTGCGCAAGATCGCGGTTAGCCTTTGCAAAAGGGTGAACCACCCCAGTTGTCCCCTGCTCTGCAGCGGGCACTCGGGCAGATCTGAGGGTTTCAGCGAGAGATAATCCGTCGCCCACGGGCCCGCGGACCTCCCGCTCCTCTAAGCGCTCTATCCAAGCTTCGGGCGGGGGAAGCGATCCGTCTAACAGATGGTAGCCCTTACGCCCGATGACACCGGAGACCAGATGTCCACCGCGGCATCGGAGGGTGGGCTTTCATTGTCCGATGATGATCCAGACCCGCTCGCCCCCTTCGGGCTGGTGAGCGCTGTCACTACGGATCCTGAAACGGACATGTTAGCCGTGCTTTCCCGGGCTGCTTCGGCCGTGGGTTGGAGATGGTTTATCCCCCAGCTCCGCGGCCGGACCGACTAGAGGGGCGTTCCCTTCTTCCCGGAGGTGCACAGTAGGCTCACGCGGTCTTGTAAAGCACTTTTTTCTGCTCGTGCTGCGTGTTCCTCCACCCTAACCACTCTTGACGGTGAAACAGCCAGGGGGTATGTGGCGATTCCTCAGGTTGAGTGCGCGATGGCGGTAAATCCGCGCGGCGCCTCTTCTTGGCGGGGTCCGCCTCGTCTCCCATCCAAAGCCTGTAAGTTATCTACCTCCCTCGGAGCTAGAGCTTACATAGCTGCGGGCCAGGCTGCTTCCGCCTTGCATGCGATAGCCACCTACCAGCGCTACCAAGCGCAGGCGCTGGCCGAGCAGCACGAGGGTGGGTCCAACCCAGGCTTACGAGCTTCGCACCGCCGCCGACTTAGCTCTTCGGACTACTGAGTCCGCTGCGTGTGCGTTGGGGAGGACGATGTCCACATTAGTGGTCCAGGAGCGCCACCCCTGGCTGATATGCGCAAAGTCGACAAAGTCCGCTTTCTTGACTTCCCCATATCCCCAGCCAGGTTCGGCGACACTGTCTGTGAATTCACCCAGGAATTCAAGGCGGTGAGAGAGCAGTTGGTGGGTGATGTCTTATCGGCGGTCCGTAGCCCGCTCCGCCCGCCGTGCCATTCATACCTGCTCCTCGCCGAAGGCGCCCGCCTACGAGAGCTGCTCCGCCCCCCCACACGCCTCCGGCGAAGCGAGCGCGTCGGGCACCTCGGAAGCAGGCAGCCCCCCTGCCCAGAACGCCGCTAAGTCCGGCAACGGACCGCGAAGCGCCCCTGGGACAGGCCATCTGGAGAAGAGGGAACTTGCTCTTTCCCCGCTGTAGGGCGGGGCCCCATTTCCAACGGCACTTTTTACTGCCATGAAAACATTATGAAAGGGCACTTTTCACTTCCCCAGATGTGACAGCCCGAAATCTGCCAGTCTGGGACGCTATGCTTTCTAGCTTGCAGATTCGGTGCGTTTCGCCAGTGGCTCACGAGCGCTGGGAGAACGGTCTCCTTTCTCCCACCCCTCGAGCCTCCCCTCCGGAGCTCGGGTTTGGAGTGAGAGCAAATATCTCACCTCCAGCTTTTCCGTGGGACCCGCGAGCTTCCCGGATCAGCACACCCACTCCGCGCTGCCCCACTGCTGGTACGTCAGCGATTGTAGCGATGAGTCCATTAGCGAGAGCTCTGCCTGCCTGGTTAGCGCGGGCCAGCTCTTTGCGGTGGCTTATACGCACAATCAGACTCGGCTATGCGATTCAGTTCGCGAAACGGCCCCCCAAGTCACGGGTGTGTATTCACCAGGGTCAGCCCCCTGTCCGCCCCTGTCTTGCGAGAGGAGATTGCTGTCCTCCTGGCGAAGGATGCAATCGAGCCGCTCCCTCCAGCCGAGATGGAGAGCGGGTTTTACAGCCCACGCTTCATCGTGCCCAAAAAGAGCGGTGGGTCACGGCCAATCCTAGATCTGCGCGTTTTGAACCGCTGCCTGCACAAGATGCCGTTCAGAATGCTCACGCAGAAGCGCATCCTCCGGTGCGTTCGTCCTCTGGGTTGGTCTGCAGCATTAGACCTGATGGACGCGTATTTCCATGTCTCCACTCTTCCTCGCCACCGACAGTTTCTGCGGTTTGCGTTTGAAGGTCGAGCTTGGCAATACAAAGCCCTCCCCTTCGGGCTCTCTCTGTCTCCGCGGGTCCTCACCAAGCCCGCGGAGGGTGCCTCAGCGCCCCTTCGGCTCGCGGGCATCTGCATACTCAATTTCTTTACGACTGGCTGATTTTTGCCCTCTCTCGGAGCAGTTGATTATGCACAGAGACAAAGTGCTCTGGCACTTCCACCTGTGGGGGTTTCAGGTCAACCGAGAAAAGAGCAAACTCGCCCCCGTGCAGAGGATCTCTTCTCTCGGGCTGGAGCTGGACTCGGTCACCATGGCAGCGCGCCTCTCCGGAGAGCGCGCTCAGCTGATGCTGTACTGTCTGAGAGAGCTCGACAGTAAAATAGTGGTCCCACTGAAACTATTTCAGAGGCTCCTGGGGCATATGGCATCCGCAGCCGCTTCATGCCGCTCGGATTATTCTATATGAGACCACTTCAGCACTGGCTTCACGATCGAGTCCCCAGACGCGCATGGCACGCGCGCGCACACCGAGTCTCTGTTACTGCGCTGTGTCGCCGCGCCCTCAGCCCTTGGAGCGACCCCTCGTTCCTACAGGCCTGGGTGTCTCTAGAACAGGCGTCCAGTCTTGTTGTCGTTTCAGCAGACACTTCCAACACGGGCTGGGGGGCTGTGCGTTGCGGGCATGCGGCTGCGGACCTGTGGAAAGGTACCCAGTTGCATTGGCATATCGCCTGGAGCTGTTGGCAGTGTTCCTCGCTCTCCACCGTTTTTTTCCGGTGCTGGAGCGGCAACACGTGCTGGTCAGGACGGACAGTACGGCGGCGGTGGCGTATATCAGCCGTATAGGGGGTATGCGCTCTCGCCGCATGTCTCAGCTCGCCCGCCGTCTGCTCCTCTGGAGTCATCCGCGGCTGAAATCGCTGCACGCCATTCATATTCAGGCAAGCTCAACCGTGCAGCCGATGCACTCTCATGGCAGCCTTGCGTCCTGGAGAATGGAGACTCCACCCCAAGTCTGTTCAGCTGATATGGGCGCGATTCGGGGAAGCCCAGATCGATCTGTTGCTTCCCCCGAGATCGCTCATTGCCAGTTGTTCTTTCCCTGACCGAGTGCTCTCGGCACGGATGCACTGGCTTACAGCTGGCCTCGGGGCACGCGCAAATACGCGTTTCCCCCAGTGAGCCTGCTCGCGCAGTTACTGTGCAAGGTCAGGGAGGACGAGGAACAGGTTGCTGGTTGCGCCCCTCTGGCTCAACCGGACCTGGATGTCAGAGCTCTCCCTCGCGATAGCCCTCCCCTGGCAGTCCCTTCGAGAGAGCACCTACTCTCTCAGGGACAGGGCACCACCTGGCACCCTCGCCGATCTTTGAAGAGATTTTTAGACGCGAGAAAGACTTAGGTAACCTCCGATTGCGGTGGCTAATACCGTCACTCGGGCTAGAGCCCCCTCCCCGAGCACGCCTATGCCCTGACGTGGAGTCTATTCACTGAATGGTGTGTCTCTCGCTGAGAAGACCCCCGTAATTTGCCAGATCAGCGTTGTGCTTTCTTTACACCGAGAGAAGTTGGAGAGCAGGCTGTCGCCCTCCACACTCAAGGTTACGTGGCTGCCATCTCCGCTCTCATAACGCGGTGGCTGGCAGCACCGTGGGAACGCATAACCTCATCATCCGGTTCCTCAGGGGCGTTAAGCGAATTAATCCACCCCGCCCCCTCTCATGCCCTCTTAGGATCTCGCCCTCGCTACACAAGCCGCGTCAGATCCCTTCGATCCTTGACTCAGTATCTTTCTGTCCCTGAAGACAGCTCTGCTGGTCGCGTTGATATCGATTAGAGGGTCGGGGACCCGGAGGCATTTTTCGGTCAGTGACTCGTGCCTGTAATTGGGCTGGCTTCTCTCACGTCCTGAGACCCCGCCCGCGATATGTGCCCAAGGTTCCTACCACTCCGTTTTAATACGAGGTAGTGAGCCTGCAAGCGCTGCCCTCGGAGGAGGCAGACCCAGCCCTTCTTATTGTCCAGTTCGCGTTTTGCGTATTATCCGGACCGCACTCAGAGTTTAGATCATCTGAGCAGCTCTTCGTCTGTTATAGCGGTCGGCAGCAGGGAAGTGCCGTACCGAAATAAGTTCCCACTAGATTGTGGATGCCTTTCTTTCACTATCAGAGCCGAGATGAGCCGCGTCCCCCGAGAGCGCGTGCGCACTCCACTCGGAGCTTCGCATCCTCTCGAGCGCGCGCACGCGGCGCCCCTCTAACAGACATCTGTAGAGCTGCGGGCTGGGTGACACCCAACACATTTGCAAGGTTTTACAATCTGCGAGTGGAGCCGGTTTCCTCAAGGGTATTAGGTAACCCTTGGTGATTGAGGAAACAATTCGGTAGGGTGTTGAAACACGCTTGCTGCGCCATTTTCCCTAACACGGAGATACGTGCGCCTTTTTATCTGTCAGTAAAGTTCCCCGTCAGGTGAGCCCTGCAGATTCCTCCGTGGCCCCCAGCACTGACTCAGCGGAGGAGTCACTTGCTGGCCCACTACGTTGTAGGTCTGCCCGCTGGTCAGCCCGCGTTTTGGGTAAAGGTGCCTGCTATGCGTGATCCCCACTAGGCGATCCCATATGCTTATTCCGCCACGGTTAAGTCCCCCCCCTGGGCGGACCCGTGTCTTCCCTCCCCGCTAACCACTCTTTGCTATGCGTACTCCCCCTTTAGGGCTAGTCCATATGTAAATTCTGCCATCTATCCCCCCTTGGGTAACGGATGGCCTCCGCAGCGTCCTCCCTATCTTTATTGCACGCTTCCCAACGTACTGTCGTATTTTCCTAGAATTATCTAGATGCTCACGACTTCCCAAAAAATATATATTAAATCCGTAAAACTTCTGTTGAAGTAGGATAAATTAGGGCCAGTGACACGTTGGAGGACCGCGCCCCCCATGATGTGGGTGCGTCACGCTTGCTTGACTATCTCCTCATCGGGGGTGTTGGTAAGGTGCAGTCATTATGGCGCTTTCAATGGGCTCCCAATGCGTGGATTTTACAATCAAATCCACTTATAGTGCTGAAGTTCCCCCCGAAGGGGAACGTTCGAGGTTACTAAAGTAACCCTTCGTTCCCCGAGGAGGGGAACGGAAGCACTATACTCCGTCGCCATAATGACTGTCCCTTAGCTGTTTAAAGTCTCTTCAGCTTAAAAAGGATAGCGTCTGCTGGCGCCAGGTGAGCTTATATACTCAGTTGATTGCTTATGCCGCTCACCTGCGCAGGCTTGCGCTGCCAATTCATTCTTAATTGGCCCGTTCAATACTCTTTCAGACGAGTAGCTTCTGAACCGAACCTCCCAATGCGTGGATTTTACAATCAAATCCACTTATAGTGCTTCCGTTCCCCTCCTCGGGGAACGAAGGGTTACTTTAGTAACCTCGAACGGTCCTGACAATGCTCTATGTATGTCATGCAAACACATTTCTCTGGCTTGGTCATGTGGAAATAAATAAAATCTCATTCTAAAAGTCAGAGCTTTGGACTAGTAGCTAACACATGTGCCTCTGTGCTGATCAATCCAACTTGTTACATTTTCCCTCCTCTCCTCATTAATTCCTGACCTTTCTCTTTCCATATCTGTAAAAAGTGGTATAAATGTCTAATATAAAAGGACGTTCTTTTAAGAAGTTATCATGAACACTGTCGTTCAGTGGGTGAAAAATATATGTAAAGCTTTAAATTATGTATCAGTCTGTCATTATTGTCAACAGGTGAGTGTTATTTCTTTCGGGTCTGGCTGTCATGGAGATGCTGTTCTCTCAGCTCTGGACATCGCTGTCCAAAATGGCCACTGGTTAGTGCTGAACAACTGTCATCTGCTGGACTGTTGGGATGTCAGAGTTGTGAACAAGTTAACACAAGTAGTGTCCTTCACTACAAAAGGTGACTCTAATGACCATACACACTACACCTACGAGAGTTCGTTATTTCAGTCTAAATCACCTGAGTGTTTGACAGATTTGGAGACAGATGGTGGGCCTCTTCTAAACGCTAAGAATGCAGGACGATTTGTGCATCCCCAGTTTAGATTGTGGCTTATAACCAAAGCTGACAGACCTCGCTCGGTCCCAGGTAGGCAGTGCTTTGCTCATTACACATAATGATTCTCCATAATGATGGTCTCCACAGTGGTATAATTGAGTCAATGTGAAATCAAAAACAACCATATTTACAGTGCATCTGGAAAGTAATCATAGCACTTTACTTTTTCCATTTTTTTAATGTTACAGCCTTATTCTAAAATAGAAAAAAATCATTTATTTCCTCAAAATTCTACACACAATACCCCATAATGACAATGTGAAAAAAGATTTTTGAAATTCATTAAAAATAAAAAACCTAAAAAATCACATGTACATAATTATTTACAGTCTTTGCTCAATTTGTTGATGCACCTTTGGCAGCAATTACAGACTCAAGTTTTTTTTAATATGATGCCACAAGCTTGGCACACCTGTCTTTGGGAAATTTTGCCCATTCCTCTTTGCAGTACCTCTTAAACTCTATCAGGTTGGAGGGAAAGTGATGGTGTACAGCCATTTTCAGATATCTCCTGAGATGTTCAATAGGATTTAGATCTGGACTCTGGCTGGGACACTCAAGGACATTCACCGAGTTGTTGTGAAGCCCATCCATTGATATTTTGGCGGTGTGCTTTGGGTCATTGTCCTGCTGGAAGATGAACCGTCGCCCCAGTCTGTGGTCAAAAGCACTTTGAAACAGGTTTTTATTCAGGATGTCTCTGAACATTGCTGCCTTTATCTTTCCCTCTAGCCTGACTAGTCTTCCGGTTCCTGCCGCTAAAAAAACACCCCACAGAATGATGCTGCCACCATACTTCACTGTAGGGATGGTATTAGCCTGGCGATGAGCAAGGCCTGGTTTTCTCCAAACATAACGACCTGGCATTCACTCTAAAGAGTTAAATTTTAGTCTCATCAGAACAGAGAATTTTGTTTCTTATGGTCTGAGAATCTTTCAGTTGCCTTTTGGCAAATTCCAGGCGGGGAGTCTGGCCACTCTACCATACAGGCCTGATTAGTGGATTGCTGCACAGATGGTTGTCCTTCTGTAAGGTTCCCCTCTCTCCACAGAAGAAAGCTGGAGCTCAGACAGAGTGACCATTGGGTTATTGATCACCTTCCTGACCAAGGCCCTTCTCCCCCGATCACTCAGCTTAGATGGCTGGCCAGCTCTAGGAAGAGTCCTGGTGGTTCCAAACGTCTTCAACTTATGGATGATAGAGGTCACTGTGCTCACTATAACTTTAAGAGCAGCAGAAATTTTTCTGTTACCTTCCCCAGCCTTGTGCCTCAAGACGATCCTGTCTCAGATGTGTACAGACAATTCCTTTGTCTTCATGCTTGCTTTGTGCTTTGACATGCACTGTCATCCCTGGGACTTTGTATAGACAGGTGTGTGCCTTTTCAAATCATGGTCTATCAACTGAATTTACCACAGGTAAACTCCAATTAAGCTGTTGAAACATCTCAAGAATGATCAGTGGAAACAGAATGTACCTTAGCAAAGGCTGTGAATACTTATGTGCATGTGATTTTTCAGTTTTTTTATTTTTAATAAAATTGCAACAATTTCAAAAACCTTTTTTCCAGATTGTCATTATGGGGTATTGTGTGTATAATTTTAAGGAAATAAATTAATTTAATCTTTTTTGGAATAATAAAGTTGTAACATAAAAAAAACCTGTTGAAAAAGATAAGTGCTATGAATACTGTTGTATATTTTACACTGTATGTATATTGCATATTTTTGGTTGCACTTTAAAAATATTAAGCCAGTAATACAACAACAAAACAACAAGAAAAAACATAATCCTTATTTTCTTTTGATTTTTCTTGTTCACTGAACTTTTGAAAACATCAGCTGCACTGACCTAAAATTATTTGAAGTTGAGTGAACAAAAAACTCCTTTCGAAATCAGTACTCAGTAATAATACATTATTAGAACAAACTTCAGTTTCTTCAATGTAAGAAAAAAGACAAATGTTAACAAAACATGTTTTAGACACAGGACAGGACGCAAGACAACAATAACAGTAAGCAAGACAAGAATTAAAACATGACAGGACAGAGAAAAATGCTTTGTAAAGGAAAAAACAAGACTCAGCAAATAGTCTGTGTAAATGAGGTATTTTTATAGTCTCTGTAATTAGTCCATCATGAGCTTCCAGCTGTGGGTGTGTGTGTTCCTCCATTTTAATTATAGTTTGAGAATTTGATTTGACATTTAATTATTACAGGATTTTACTGAGTTGATCATGAAAATTAAATATCAAATACAGTAGATTTCTCATTTGAGAATGCTTTTTGATTTATTATTTGATCATTTGAGCTTTTGATTTATCATTTGGGTAGTTGATTTGAAATTTTCATTTATTATTTGTTCTTTTTAGGCATTTGAATTTTCATTTTAATGTTGTTAGGAAAAAAACAATAGCAGAATATTTTTTGGTTGAACTTCCAAATCTTTTCAACTTGATGAAATTTTTTATTTAAGTTAGGTAAACATGTTAAATGTAGTTTTACAGACATTTTTTACTGAATTATGCCAAACAAACAAACTTATTGTTATTTAAAGGGGTGGTCCACTGCAATTTCATATTTTAAACTTTAGTTGATGTGTAATGTAGCTGTGTGAACATAAACAGCATCTCTGCATGTAAAAAGCTTAAAGTGCAATGCAAAGGGAGTCCTTGGTTTTTACAGAGTTAGCTTAGCAAAGCCTACAATGAATGTATTTTAGGGACTACAAAAAATACTTCTGGCCCTTGTGAGATCACAAAGGTACTTTTACAGCAGACACACACTGCGCAGCTAAGGGCCGTGGCCAGAGGCGCTGTAACGTTATTGCAGAGAGCTAAAATGCGTCCAAAAGCTGCTATTTTCACAGAGCTTCGTCTGTTTCTGTATTTGGGCTTCCAAAGGACACAACACAAAGACAGAAGTGCTTACAGTTCAATATTAATTATGTTCCAGAGAATTATAAAATACATAGCAAGCATGATTTGACAGAACAGCTCCAGAATCTGTCCCAGTTCAGTGCTTGATTCGGTTAAAAGCTCCACAAAGCAGAAGCTGTGAACTACAACCTGTAAGTGTTTTTATTTGCTAAAATTGATCATGACATGTACACTGTTCAGCGTTAACAGTATGCTGTAGCAACAATGTAAACAACGGGAAATGCTGTTTTGCACCGCAAACGATTTAGCTACAAATTCATATTTATCAGTCCAACTGCTGTAAACACACACACACACACACACACACACTTCACCAGCGCGTTCGTGTCTCTTTATGTGTGTGCGCGACTTTGCAATGATTCTTTTTAGGCAGCTTTTCCATGCGTTTTACATCTCAGATAATGAAGTCGCAAAAGATATGTGGATGATTCATATTACTTACACCTGCATATTCTGAATACATGTGAAAGACAAGGGCCTCGCTAGGTGCTCATCTGTTATAAAACACTCAGAGGACATTAATTTGGACAACTATGCGGATATATTAAATAGTTCAGACAAAAATACGCAAGGAGACAGGTTCACTTCACGCATAATGTTATTTTTCTGAATGAGCAGACTTACGTGTACTAGCTGGAGACGTGATCATGAGGATGTTTTTATGCCGAGTTTGAAGTAATCACCCAGAGAACAGGAGAAAGTGCATTACTTCGATCATTTTAATTTAGCATATTAATCATGAAATCCTCAAATTATAGTATAATATTGAGAGTTAGTTTTAATCTTACAGCCCACCTGCAGGATCGCTGAGGCCCACTAGTGGGCCGCTGCCCACTGGTCTATAATCCCTATATATAATATGAAATCTATATATAATATGAAATCACTAAAACACAGTAAAACAGTAGAAATTGCATGATATATTTCTCTTTTTTAATGTAAATGTCTGAGAGACTGTTTAGACTGCAGGTCTAAATTTGAAATGGCAAAATGGCCTTAAACAATAACTAAATGCACTACAGAATGTTACTTTTTCACACACTTGCACAAATTGCATGAATCAGTGCTGCACCAACTTCTGGACACTCGTAGCTTGTTAGTTAAACCTAACATATCGTTGTCACAGCTAGATTTTCCTCTTAGGTCACACAGATTTTGCTCTGCGTGTAAATGCATCAACCTGCTTTCTGTCAGCTTAGTATAGGTGCATATAATATAACATAATGTTAAATGTAAGGTAGAAAGATGTTTTAAAAGTGTTTTTGCATAATTTGTTCTTAGTAAGTGATGTAGTTAATAAACGATAAAAAATGAACTTGATTGTAGTGTGTTACCAAAGTTTAGATTGAATGATGTGACAAGGCCAGGTCTAAATGTAGGAGCAAGTAAATGAATTGGTTTCACACACAGTCTAAAGAGTCATGATATCGAAGTGTTCTCTGTTATAATATGTGTTTAACCTTTCATCTGATTTAGTTTCTGTTAGGATTAGAGCCTTGCACTTGGCGTGTGATTCCTCCTTGGACCTGAAGGATGAACTGTGGTCCTCGATAAAACAGACAATCCCCATGTTTTCTCCTGAAGCCTCTGTGCAGATTCAGTGTGCCATCCTGCATTCTGTCCTGCTGCACAGACAAACATTCAAACACACGGGCCAAGCACAGCTCTACTTTTGGTAGAGATTTTAACACATTGGAGTGCACAATCATTTATTTATTGCATTTATATCTCTAATCTGACTAATCTTCATTCTATTTATAGGACTCAGGAAGATTTACATGCTCTGATTGACACATATCACCGCATAGCCAAACACTGCAGTGATTCCTCTAGAGCTTTGGAATACATAGCAGGTACTGCTGGTACTTAAAACTTTTTAAATGGTTTATAAACTGCTTTTTATTTTGTTGGTTTTCTGAGATCTACTTATAATGTTATAATTAGAATTAATTGACTATTTTCTGTTTTAATCTCAGTGATTGGAGCACCTTATATGAATAGGTGTGGCAGATTGTAGACTTAGTAGTAAATGCCCACTGGTATGATTGGCATACTGCATTAAATTAGTTTCACGAAAGTTTGAAAGAAAGCTGTGTGCTCACCATTGTAAACATCTGCTTATATATACTTGATAGCCCAAATCCTTCAATGATGGATTTTGTTGTGACCAAGTACATATTAAGGTAAGTTTTATTAACAAATTTCGAGAGGATCATATGCTATAATTAATTGCGGGTGGTCTCTCATCAACAGTCATTGACAAACCAATCAGATGAATCCAGGCCCACTATAAATAACCCATTTTGTCTTACTTCCCCTATCTTCATTTTTTAAAGGAATCCCTTCATCCACTCGATGTCCCTATTTGCCTCATTTACCAGGTGGAGCTTTCAAGACTGATCTCAGACCACCTTTTATGCTAAATCACCAGGTGGGAGCCCTAGGCTCAATTATCTCCGAGCTAAAGGTTCACTCCTGGGACAGCATGCCAAACCCGCAATAAGAATCAAACAATAGCAAAGTGTGAACTCTTGCAATGATCTGTAAAAACAGACAAGGCACTAGTGAACAAATAATAAAACAGTTACTCAACCTTGTGTGGTGCCATATGACTCATGGATCAATATAGTCAGCGCAGCAGTCTAGTGTTTTTCCACTGCTTAGAGTTTCGTTGTTGTTTGGTTTCTGTTATTTAGGTGGTGTTCTGTATATTTTGGTCCTACCCTGTCAGATTTTCCTCCCATTCAAAAAGTAGGTTGCACATTTTGATGACGAAAGCAGATTGTGCTACTTGCATAAATTTTGATGTGGAGCGGTGTGATATGAGGCTGGAATATTGCCTTAAACTAGGGTTAAACACTTAACCTCAGAATCATTCAAGTATAGTGTTCGTAGCATAATCTGATTGGTAGGATTAAATGTCAGGACACTGGACATAAACAGACAGTGATGTCCTGATCTTCATCTGCAGAGGCCATGCTTATCCACATTATTGTGTAATAAATTGGTTCATTCCACACACTGACTATATTTACTGTACATGGACATCAGTAATCAAATTATTCGCCTTAATCTGATTGAGACAATAATATGATTAAGGTGTTTACATGAGTTGATTTTTAGATGTTCCTTTCATGATCTCGTTTTACATGTTATAGTGCATAATTCGATTAACGTCTTTGCATCACCACGCTATCCATGTTTCTTCTGGAGTTTTATGTAATTTCGGGTGCTCCATTTTTAATTTGTTGATTTTAGCCTTCACTTTCATTCAGGAATATTTCAATAATGCCAACCATGACAAACTAAGGTACTGAATTCGACTACAATGTATAAGGACTGCTGGAAGAGCGTTGTTTTGATCAAATTTGATACCGCACGCCAAATGGAAGAAAAAAAAAAACTCCACGTTATGCGATGCAGATGTGGTCCTACTGACTCTGTATGCAGAGAATAGTGTCAAACAGCCATCTGTGTATAAACTATCCTGTTGCAAAACACGGCAAAATGTCCTACATAATAATAATAATAGTTTGAGTAAGGTGTTTATATGTCTGTACTGCACTTCAATATTGTGACTAAAATCGGCATACTCCACATGTCTTAATTCGATTTCTGTTAGATTATGACCTGATTAAATTAATCAAAAATCACTGTTTACATGGTAGACTCTTAATCAGAGTATTGTCTTAATCAAATTATAATTTAATTAAAGGTGTCCATGTAAATGTACTCGTTGTTTTTCCAGATTGACTTTAATGCAAGCTGTCTTATACTGTGACTGAATGAGCTCAAACACACTGCACAAGTTAAGAAAACAAATGCATTAGAAAAACACTTTTTACTATTACTATTATTCTATTGGAAAAACTGTATTTTATGGTAAAAAAAGAGAAAACTGTTGTTATTTGTATCAATATTAACGGTGCTGGCCCTGTATTTACTTGGTATCTGTTACAGGCACCAGCTAGAGTGCCCACCACACACATTTGAGGGCACCTCACATATGCAACTGAACTAGACTACACACCCCTTAATCTTATACAACTCACACTTGATAGCTATGAACTTTTTATCACACACTTTATATAGCCTTGTGTTTCAGTCTGTGTTTGTTGGCCTTTGAATGTTTGTCTGTGTTGGTGCCTGTTCTCTTGTGGATATCTTTGAACCATACCTGCCACCACTCATTTCACACCCATCTCCCCACACCCTCTCATTGTGTTAGTTTTCCTGGGAAACTCAATCTAGTTACAATCTAGTTACAAAAAATCCCTTGTGGCCATGTAAGTCAAATTGCAAAGTCACCTCACGTAGTTCATGAAATATGAAAATCTGGCAAAAAAACATTACAACAAAGTTGCACTGTTGATTTCTTTGTAGGTGCTAGATGGTTGACTTAAACAGTGGCAATAGCAACATTATATATTATGTATACATTATATATTAATATCCAAAATTTTGCAGTATCCCTCACACCTAAACAGGAAGCAGGTTCATCTCTTTTTTGGGTTCCCCAACACATTTCCATTGGGGTCTGTGATGTTTTGCAGCACATTTTTATGTATTGTGAAACTTTATATTGTGAGAAAGACTTTCTTTCAATATGTTAGTGTTGACTTACAGAACATTTGAGCTCTCTGAGCCAACATATTTCCAAGATAAATGAGAAAGTTCTGAAACTTACAGGATGCTTTTTTATTGTACAATGATGTCAAAGGATAAATAGAATTTTGATTCCTCACTTCATGACCCTATAAAATTATTTTTGATCTGTTTGAATCTGTTCTTTCAACAGGTCACCTGGTTTATGGGAGCCACGTGTCAGACCATGCTGATCTAGCAGCTGTGCAAAGTGTGGTTAGAGCTTGTCTGAGTCAACCGTCTACTTCATGGGAGAGTGGTCAATGCATTCTTTCTGATATCATTAACTTAATAAGAAAATGTGGTATGTAAACAATCTATCGCCATGCTCATTGTAAATATGTGTCCCATTATACATTTTTGGGTAATGTAAAATATGTTGTTTCAAATACGCTTTGTTTCTTGGTGCTGTGGTTTCCACTACAGTCCAAAGACATGCAGTATAGATGAATTGAATAAACTAAATTGTCCGTATAGTGCAGTGGTTCTCAACCTTCTAATGGTACATGGAGGAATGAAATATGTCATGTACATGCTACATATATTTCAAAATTTATCAAAAATAATGTATATACTATGCCATATATGACACATAGCCTATATTTCTGAGGTAATCTGCCACGTTTTTTTTAACTGTGCAGAGTTGTAGCTCCTTTACTAGGCCTACTACACCACTGTATTTGAATACTGCTCATTTTTGTGGTACTTGAAGAGACAATTTTTTTTTCTGAGATGGTACTTGATGAAAAAAGTTTGAGAACCACTGGTATAGTGTATATGTGTGTAAAAATGATTGTGTATGGGTGTTTCCAAATACTGGGTTGCAGTTGGAAGGGCATCCGCTGCATAAAACATATGCTGGAATAGTTGGCAATTCATTCTGCTGTGGATACCTTTGAAATAGAGAGCCGAAGCCGAAGGAAAATTAATGAATGAAAGTACGTTTTGTTGCATGTTTTAGATGGCAAATCCACTAGAGGGTGCTGTTTACATTTTTCCACTTACTGTTCTTTGGCTTAGTCCAGGGGTGTCCAAACTACGGCCCGTTTTGTGGCAGCCCGCGAGGCTTTTTATAAATATCAATAGAATCTGGCTCGCTATACAAAAATGAACGTAATTCAATAAATAACCACCGGGTGTTGCTATTACATGCATTCAATTAAGCAGCAGTTCTTGTTATGATCTATCTATCTATCTATCTATCTATCTATCTATCTATCTATCTATCTATCTATCTATCTATCTATCTATCTATCTATCTATCTATCTATCTATCTATCTATCTATCTATCTATCTATCTATCTATCTATCTATCTATCTATCTATCTATCCACACACACACACACACACACACACACACACACACACAGTTGAAGTCTGAATTATTAGCCCCTCTTATTTCTCTTTTTTAAATATTTCCCAAATGATGTTTAACAGAGCAAGGACATTTTCACAGTATGTGTGATAATATTTTTTTCTTCTGGAGACTTATTTGTTTTATTTCGGCTAGAATAAAAGCAGTTTTATTTTTTTTATTTTTTAAGGTCAAAATTATAAGCCCCTTAAGTCTTCAGAACAAACCATTGTTATAAAATAACTTGCCTAATTACCTTAACTTGACTAGTTAACTTAATTTATATATATATATATATATATATATATATATATATGATATAGATGTATAGATATTTATATATACATATATACAGTTGGAGTCAGAATTGTTAGCCCCCCTAAATTATTAGCACCCCTGTTTATTTTTTTTCCACACATTTCTAAACATAAAATTTTTAGTAACTCATTTCTAATAACTGATTTATTTTATCTTTGCCATGATGACAGTACATAATATTTGACTAGATATTTTTCAAGACACTTCTATACAGCTTAAAGTGACATTAAAAGGCTTAACTACATATATATATATATATATATATATATATATATATATATATATATATATATATATATATATATATATATATATATATATATATATATATATATATATATGTATGTATGTTGTATGTATGTATGTATATATATATATATATATATATATATATATTTATGCGTGTCTGTGTGATGTATGTAAAATTTGTCCCGCAACAACGTTTTTTTTTTTTTTGCATCTGGCCTTCGGCCCAAAAAGTTTGGACACCCCTGGCTTAGTCCATGATCAATCAGTAATTGCCACAGCTGTATGCCTACTTCTCAGGCATATGTTTTATATGACAGATGCTCTTCCAGCCACAACTGTGTAGACTTTTTGTAACTCTAAAATATGTTACACAGAAGTACATTTCTTTGTAAATTTACATACACGTCCTTCTTGTACAAGTCCATGCTAGGGATATCGTCCAGATCACCTAGACTAGTGAACCCCTTCACTAAATCCAACCAATAGTGATTTCAGAAGCAAATGTAAGAGAAAACAATGTACATTTAGCTTGTCTTTACATAGATCTCTTTTACTTTTAAAGTAATTTTACCCGACTCTCTCTCTCTCTCTGTATGATTGTATATATTATGAGACATGGACTTGCTCTTTGCATTAAAAAAGCTTTCCCACTGTCTTAAAAAAAAAAAAAAAAACTGGATGTATGAAGTAGCCTAAGCTTGCAACACTGATTGATATTTCTGCACCTGGAATTTGTCATGTATTAATTCAAATCTTGACAGCTATAGACATTATGAAAATACATTTTAGTATATTGTGATTAAAACAACAACAAACATTGTTTTTTTTTAATCCCAGTACATCGAAAACAGCCTTGTAAATTCCTTGAAATATCATTATAATTAAAAACATTTATTTGCTCATATTCAGTCCTTAAAGAGGACCTATTAAGCTCCTTTTTGCAACATGTAAAATAAGTTTCTGATATCCCTAATTGTGGGTGTATGTGAAGTTTCAGCTCAAAATACCTCACAAACAATGTTTTATAACTCTTTAAAACTGCCCCTTTTAGACGTTGACCCTTATTGTGCCGTTTTGGTGACTGTCGCTTTACGTACAAATGAGATTGTGCTCCCAGCCCTCTTTTCAAAAGAGGACGGAGCTACAAATACCTGTGTGATTGCATAGTGGCAGATTCAAAAATAAGACTAACGTCCTATGCCAACAAGGGAGAGATTGTCACTAATGAGTGGGGCTTTCCTCCTCTGATGACATGTATAAAGGGAGTATGTAAATCAATGTGTGATTATAAAAAATAGAATTTATACATTTTTACCATAAGAATCTGGCTATGCTCACAGACTGTTTTCCAGACAAGTGTGTTTAAAGTGATTTTTGCATGATAGGTCCCACTTAAAATTGTTTAAAAACTTCTAATTCTGAAATCGAATCATTTCAATGAATCTTTTCCTTATTTACAACGCTATTAGGCTGCATTTACACTGCACTGTTCAAATGACTCAATTCCGATTTTTTTTGTCCCATGTGGCACAGATCGGATATGGCCCATGTACCTGTAAGCAGGAACAAATCACATGGATTCCGATTTACTCCAATCAGATTCAGGCCTTGTTCATATGTTGAAATTTATCCCATATAAATCGGATCTGTGTTCTCATGCCTGAGGTAGATAGGATTTCACCTGTCAGTACGAGTCACGCGTCATTAAAAACCATAGCGAATGACGTCAAGTCTGACACTTTCTTTTCAGAACAGACTTAAGCAGAGTCTCAAACCTTAAATCTCATACACGAGGACTTAAAAAGCTGTCATATTGCCATATAGCACAGGTATTTAAGCATTTTAACGAGAGCAAGAGAGGGCAATGTCCGCCACGTAACCAATATAAACTAATATAAAAAAGTGCATACAAAATGTGCATAAATCACGCTATGGACATTAAAATAAAATGCCAGAAGGTTTAAAACAGCCTATATATCAAAAGAAGATGGACAAATGAGAACCTTTCTGTCATAAACTATAGTAAAACAGTCTGTCAAAAGCTGCAAACAGATTACATAAAGGAATAGAGAAAAGAGCAGAAAAGAGTCAGCGTCCGCTTATTTACCTGATCATTGCGTCTTTGCCGTGTTCTGTATAAATGCAGACGATTGGATACGAGTCACTTTTAAAAGATGATGTAAGCAGGTCATCAAAAAAATCGGATACAGTCACAAATCGGAATTGACCATCAAGATCTGCAGTGTAAATGCAGCCTTAGTTGCCATTAAGTAAGAACAAGTAAATATACCAACCCAGGTTCATTCTGATTACGTACCCCTATATACTTTTCTGTAGAGAGCGAAATACGTCCCAGGAGCTACGTTTTTTTGCAGTTATTGTTTTCGAGAATTCATCAGAGGCCGCTGTGTATGCTTTTTCAGATCTTATGCTGTGTTCACACCAGACGCAGAATGCGCATCAAGCGCAAGTGATTTACATGTTAAGTCAATGCAAACGCGTAAATAGAAATCCTGCGGCGCGATATGCGCGAATGGCACGGCGTTTTTTACGCGTTTTTTGCAGTTATTGTTTTCGAGAATTCATCAGAGGCCGCTGTGTATGCTTTTTCAGATCTTATGCTGTGTTCACACCAGACGCGGAACGCGCATCAAGCGCAAGTGATTTACATGTTAAGTCAATGCAAACGCGTAAATAGACATCCTGCGGCGCGATATGCGCGAATGGCGCGGCGCGAATGACGCAAATTGCGTGAATGGCGCGGGGCGTTTTGCGTGAATCTCTCGAGTTCGAAAATCTGAACTTCAGCGTACATTCGCGCCGCATTAACCAATCATAAGCTTGCTCTTGTGGGGGCGTGATTGTGACGTAGAAGCTTCACCGACAACAGTTCATTAAACTCGGCTTGGCTCAGTCAGAAGCACCGCTGAAAGCCTCCATCATCCAGGTTAAGTTTCTGGAGGAGTTTATGAGCTCACAGAGCTGGATGCACCTCTGAAAGGATGTAGTGGACTCAGACATGACCCTAAACGTATCGACGCTGTTTTTCAGTCTTGATAAAACACATAAACACTGTTATTTTCTTCATAAAATCCATGTTAGCCATTTAGCTATGAAGCTAGTGTCTTCGGGCAGACAGAAGCCCTGCCCATCACGCGAATCCGCGTCTGTTCTGAAGTGAATTTGACATTTGAATGAAGCGGGGTTTGACGCACGAATGAAGCGAGTAAACTCAAATGTTCACGCGACTATTTATGCGCAAATAGAGCGATTTATCCGCGCGTTCCGCGTCTGGTGTGAACACAGCATTAAAATACTCTTGCGAGTGCCATTCATGCCTGCTGTTCTTGCTTAAATCCACCAGAGGCCGCTGTCGACTGACTGACTGATTTACTGACCATCCGACCAATCCCTCCCCTTCCCCTAAACCCAACCAATAGTGTTTTAAAAAGCATCGATTAATCCGATCACCCACTTCCCTAAACCCAATCACAGTATTTTAACAAGCAATTCAAAAGAAAAAAGAAGAAAGGGCCCCTGATTTTTACTGTTTTCAGATTTTACCACATCTTTACCCTGTTAGTTACTTGTTTATTTATTTATTTTTGCTTTAGTTTTTGTCTTATCTTCTTTCTGGAAACGTTCTTAACCCGACTCAAACCCCGATGTTGCCATCAACTCCGCTCTGCGTCTCAAGTCCGCTGATATACAGTACGTGTTGAGCTACCAGACAAACTGGTAACAATGGAAAAGCTGTCCATACGGAGATAAGTGGTCCACTGGCAAGTGAAAAAAGAAACGGCGTCATACTACTGCGTTGCGTTGGTTTTAAAGATGAAATGCAACCATACGTAGCTCTGGCTACATAATTTGCGATCTCCAGAAATGTATATAGGGCTGTGTTTTTAGAATGACTCTATGTTGCAACCTACCAACCTATTAGCCTACATGTTAAGGGGGGCTTTAAACATTGTTGTGGTCAGTGAAAGTCCTTGAAGATAAAAAAAATGTTTATAGTGTTTTTAAAATCATCCTATAATGACTGAACATTTACTTTGTTCTTTAATGCTTCACTTAATTTGTGCAGAAGGTGAGAACCTACTGACAGAAGTGAGACATCACATTCAGTCTATCAGCAGAGACACACTCCCGTTACTTCTGGGCTTTAGTCCAGGAATGGCAGATGAACTGGTCAAACTAAAAAGTTATAGCCTCAGCAATCTTCTACATCAATCACAAAACATCTGTGTGGATGCCAGAAGAGAAACCAATGTTGTACTGCTACCCCAAGAACTTCCAGACTACCGGACGGCTTGGGAAAGGCTGCTGACTTTACAAGACAAGCTAAGGAAAATGGAGATTGGCATGGGAATGGAATCTTCTTATGGGCCGTTGCATTGTTTTTTCCAGGCAGAATGGGAACGTCTGGACTCAATGGTGTCTTCCCTGCTCTCAGACAATTTTCAGCCGGTTAAATATAACATGACAAGCTCCGCTGCTGCACTTCTAACAGCATCAGCTCTCTCACGTCTGGAGACTCGAGCAGAGCTGCTCAGGTCGTACCTGTGGGAAGAGTCATCCAGGATTACACCTCATGTTTATCGATTGGCTGCCTTTCACAATCCCAGAGGCTTTCTGGCAGCGCTTATCAGAGATGAAGCCCACATCCAAAACAAGGAGATCAGTCTTTACTGTTTGAATTTCAAGGTAAATCTCACACTGCATAAATCAACCACGTATAATCCACAAAAAAAATAAAATAAATAAATATATAAAATATTTACAGTTGAATTATTATCCCCTGTTTATTTTTTCCCCCAATTTCTTTTAAACAGTACAAAGATTTTTTTCAACACATTTTTAAACATAATAGTTTTTTTTAACTCATTTCTAATAACAGATTTATTTTATGTTTGCCATGATGACAGTAAATAATATTTTACTAGATATTTTTCATGACACTTCTATACAGCTTAAAGTGACATTTAAATGTTTAACTAGGTTAATTAGGTTAACTAGGCATGTTAGGGAAATTAGGCAAGTTATTGTATAAAGATGGTTTGTTCTATAGACTATTGGGAAAAAAATCTGCTTAAGGGGGCTAATAATATTGACCTTAAAATGTATTTATTTTTTTTTATTACAAACTGTTTTTGTTCTAGCTGACAAAAAGCAAATAAGACTTTCTCCAGAAGAAAAAACATTATCAGACATTCTGTGAAAATTTCCTTGCTCTGCTAAACATCATTTGGGAAATATATAAAAAGGGGGACTAATAATTCTGACTTCAACTTTATATACAGTATTTGGTCCAAAGATGGTTCAAACTCAATAATTAATTAAATTATACAACAGGGTCAAGATCAAGACAACAGGCTTGCATTTCAAGAATTACAATAAAATATATATACATTTATACATAATATACATAATTATTAATTTTTACAATTTATAATATAATAATAATAATAATAACAATATATTTACAACTATTAAATTGTAAACAACCCTGAATTGTAGGTTAAGCATCTTTTAAATATTTTTTTTAACAAAATGTGCATCCCCATTACTCAGATTTTAGTGATTTGTATCATGTTGTGTAATAAGTTGTAAAAAAAATGCTAGTATATACAGTTGAAGTCAAAAATATTAACCCTCTTTTAAATTTTTTTTTCCTTTTTTAAATATATTTTCCAAATTTTGTTTAACAAAACAAGGACATTTTCACAGTATGTCTGATGAAATAAAAATAAAAACAGTTTTTAATTTTTTAAGGGAAGTTAAGACAATTCTAAGGGCCCATGCAGAGATATGTTAATAGGGTCCCACGAAACTCACCCCGCTTCACTTTAATTCATGACCTCCCACCCTCGCCCCGCTCTTTGCTTTAGTCCGCAACACAAAAGTTGTAAGTCAGCCTGTTGCTAACCTGCCTAGTTAACCCAATTAATCTAGTTAGGTCTTTAAATTTCACTTTAAGCTATAATAGTATAGAAGTGTCTCGAAAAATATGTACTGTAGTAAAATATTATGTACTGTCATCAGAGCAAAGATTTACTACCTAGAGATGAGTTATTATTAGAGATGAGTTATTAAAACTTTTATGTTTAGAAATGTGTTAGAAAAATTCTTCTCTCTGTTAAATAGAAACTGGGGAAAATAAATAGGGGGCAAATAATTCTAAGTTCAACTATATAGGTTAAAAGAAAAATGGCTGGAAATTAATAATAATTTAAAGTGTTATTCGGTAAGTGTTGTGAATAGAGGACATGCAGACGGCGTAGGTCCAAATGCAGCTTTATTTTTTAGAATGGTCAGGCAGGCAGGGGTTGAAAACCAGCATATATAGTGTAAAGGGCAATCCAAGACAGTGATCCAAAAATATTGTTTGTGAAACTAAGGGGTTTAAATAGTCCAGGTAATCAAGGAAGATGAGTTTCACCTGTGAGCGTGTGTGTCCAAATGACTGTCAGCTGTGGCACGAGTGATTGCTGCAAAGATTTCTGGTATTTGTAGTTTGGCAGGGATACAGGAAGTAAACTCCAGTGGAGAAAACGCTAGCTGTGTCTCATTTCAGAGGCTGCATCCTCCAAAGGATGCAGACTTCAAAGGTGAGTCCTTCGAAGCCCACACAGGCTGAACCGAGCATTTTAAAATGAGACAGCCTACAGAGGACAGATCTCGTTACATGCAACCGTAACAGCTGGTGTTAATAAGCGCTGATAAAATTTGTAATGAATTTTTCTAAGTGATTTTAAGACCTATTTTAAGCGATCTGAAGGCAAAACAAAGTGTACAGAAGCTAATCCATACATGTACACATTAAATTTTAAACTGTCTATAAAATCACTCTTTAGTGAGACATGTCATACTCTTTTTGGTTTTTTAAAGAGTGTTTAGATGAGCGAAGCAGTGGCGCAGTAGGTAGTGCTGTTGCCTCATAGCAAGAAGGTTGCTGGGTCGCTGGTTCGAGCCTCGGCTCAGTTGGTGTTTCTGTGTGGAGTTTGCATGTCCTCCCTGCATTCGCGTGGGTTTCCTCTGGTTGCTCTGGTTTCTTCACTGTCCAAAGACATGATGTACTGGTGAATTGGGTAGGCTAGCCTAAATTGTCCGTAGTGTGTGAATGTGTGTGTGGATGTTTCCCACAGATGGGTTGCGGCTGGAAGGGTATCCGCTGCATAAAAACTTGCTGGATAAGTTGGCGGTTCATTCCGCTGTGGTGTCCCCGGATTAATAAAGGGACTAAGCGGACAAGAAAATGAACGAATGAATGAATGTGTTTAGATGTCCGAGTAAAATAAACTTAATTCATGTATTTAATCTGGAGTTTTCTTTTAAAACATCCTCCTTTGGAGGATGCAGCCTCTGAAATGAGACAGCTACTGTTGGCAATCACAACAGTAAGGACTAGCCTGTGAATACGTGTGGCTTTGAATAAAAACAAAACAAGACAAAACAAAACAAAAAAATAGACTTTATTAATGAAAAATGCCACATGATTCACCCAGCCTTTGTTCGTGTTTTGTCAGGTGCTTCATAATATGGTACCTCCCCAACGGGGTATTTGTCTGTCTGGATTGGAGCTGCAGGGGGCGCTGTGGGATTCAGGGTCTGGTGGTCTTCAAGACTCTCAGTCTCCCAATCCTTCTTCTTTCCCGCCCATCTGGGTCAGTGTTGAAGAGTGCAAAGGTGACAGGATCAATTCTTCTAAAAGCTCACAATGTAATTCCTCATCCCTGTACTACTGCCCCCTGTATGTGGACACACACACTGCAGACGGAGGTCAGCGTCTATGTGAGGACAATATTATCACCCATGTTCCACTTGCAGCAAGGTTAGATCCAGTGCTCTGCACTATGAGACACGTTAGGTTAACCAGTACTCTATTTTAACAGACCTTGTGATGAATGATTTAAAATGTATGCTCTTGATGAAAATATGTGTAAAATTATAGCAACATTGTACTTCGCAGACGGAGAATTTACCAATTGTTTAGAGAGAAAAAAAAAACATTGACAAGTTCAGTTATTGCTCTCATTTCTAATACATTTATGACTATTTTAAATACATTTGAACATGTTTGTGTAGGTAAAATTAACAAAAAGAACAACAAACATAACAAAAATAACAAAAAAGCAAGTTTTAAAAATATATCTGCAAGAATTGACCAAAAAAAGAAGGTTATTGACTTTTGGAAATGTTGGTAGAGTTTGGTTTAAATCACCCAGTTCAGGACTCTGACACTTGTGTTCATAACAGCCTCTGGATCGACATCCTCCTACCTCAACACGTTACAGATGTGTGTGGGTGAAACTCACGACGCCTGTCATGAAGTCCATGTCAGATTTCACTCCCGAATCAAAAAATACAAATAAAAAAATGTAGGAAGTGCTATTTTATGTTTGCTGTAGCTCTCAAATTTCACTTGAAATTTCCATTGAATTTCATCGACACTCTGCAGCTCTTGTCAGTGCTTGCTCTCTCTCTCCCTTCTTCCCCCCCACTCTCACACACACACACACACACACACACACACACACACACACACACACACACACACACACACGCACACACGCACACACGCACACACACACACACACACACACACACACACACACACACACACACACACACACACACACACACACTTGTATAGACCATTTCAATGTAGTGATGTCATTGGCCCAAGAATATTTGCTTGTTGTCAAACTATTTCATATCTGTAAAAAGAGAGAACTCAACCATAACTCAATATTAAAACAGCTATCCATACATCATTTATCAACATGTGGACCTTTTTAAATTCTTGGAAGGTATGGAAATTAAAAAAGTAAAACAGGAAATGCGTTAGGAACATTGTTATTGTTTAAGTCTCTCAAAATGGTCAATACATGGTTTAGATGGACTCTCCGCTGGCATAATGTATTTTAGAAAAAACAGTTTATTATACAGTCCTACTCCACTCCCACTCCTAAAATCAACCCTAAAAAGAAACCTGTGGCAAAATCTAAATTTCAAAAGACCCTGTTGAATATGATTTTTAAGCATTTTTAATTAAAGGGACACAAGGTATAAATCCAGTCAACCAGCCTAATAGAGTACAAAGCCATGACATTAACAACTTTGTACCTCTGTGAACCACATAAACCTGTACGCACACACATAAGAGTGAATGAGCGAGCTATCTTTAAGCCACCAGAGTAACCTAGTTTTCTCCTGAGTTGTGTTGTGGATGACTTATAGGCTAAATTTGAATAATACTCAAAAAATGGGACCAACAGTGACGCATTTAGAGATGTATTGTAAATATGAAAACACAGGCAGGAGTTAATATCAACCTCAGCATGAAGAGACGAGTCGTACAAAATTTGTTAGTGTGCTTCCTTCAAGAAAACCGGCAGTAAGTGCTGAGTGATATGACATAAACATTCATCAAACACTTAAATTCAGCTGTAAACATGTATTTGTTGCCTCATTGCAAACATATGTGGCAAATTTCACAATATACGCATTAAACTGATAAAAGGTACATTTCAAAAGACTTTAAGCCTCTTCAGGTGACACTGAATAAATTCCCTGACGGTTCAAAGACATGTGCTTAAGGTGAACTGAATAAGCTAAATTGGCCAGAGTGAATTTGTGTGAAAGACTGTGTTTGGGTGTTTCCCAGTGTTAAGTTGCGGCTTGAAGGGCATCCACTGTGCAACACATATGCTGGATTAGTTGGCCGTTCATTCGGCTGTGGCAACCCCTGATGAAGATGCAATTTACTTTCTGGCAATCTGTGAACACACCATAGTCAAGCATGGCTGCCTGTTTCACAAAACATATATCCTTTCTCAAATCCACTTCCAATTTTTCCCAAATTGGAAAAGTTTTGTCCCAAATTTGTTGTCCCACAAACATAGCTTAGACCAGTGTTTCCCAACCCTGTTTCTTAAAGGCACACCAACAGTACACATTTTCAAAGTGTTCCTAATCAAACACATCTGAATCAGTTCATCAGGACATTAGAAGAGACTCCAAAACCTGAAATGAATGGGTCAGATATGGGTAACATCCAAAATATGTACTGCTGGTGTGCCTCCAAGAACAAGGTTGGTAAACACTTGCTGAGACAAATTTAAAACTATGGGAAAAATGTGATTATTGTAATCTCACTAGGAAACATTGAAGCCAATCAAATGAAATGCACATGAATGATCCCGTGTCATTCATCACTGTCAGTATGTCATTTGCATCTACTGAATTCTTATCATTCAGCTATGCCCAGATATTTCCACATTTTAATTGTAACCTTTAAAAATTGCTCAGGGCAAGCCTTTGATAATCCTGCTAATTTTGTGATCCTTTGCTAGATTTGAGAACATGTCTAAATCTTGTCAATGCTCTTACTGGCACTATTTGACTGAATTTCTGACAGTTTTCACTGCTTTGAATCAGTCACAGACAGACACAGAGAGAGAGATAATGTGTTCAAGAGAGAGATCATGTGTGTGTGTGAAGGACACAGGCATAATATAGTCACTACCTGATTGCCTAATCCTAAGCCCTCCTCCATAAACTTACCAGAACGGTAAGGGTAATAATTTAGCAGGGGTCAGAACTGGCAATTTGTCACTGTGGGTTACTATGGTTACTACTAATGTTTGAACTGTGATCAAATCTGACTGGAACTACCTGTGCTTTAAACGATTTTATTGCTTTTTTTTTGTCAATCTGAATTAAAAGGTCAACAGACCATGGAATAAATACATTCTGTACTGTATGAACAAACCCAATCTCAAGGCAATTCGTAACATTTTGATTTAGTGGCTAATTTGTATGTATTTGTACGATCTAATTCGTACAATTTAGTATGATTTGCTCATCCCCCAATGACAGTTGGGTTTAGGGGTGGGGTTAGGTGTCACGCCTCCTTTTTAAAATCGTACAATTTCGTACAAATTCATGCGAATTAGCCACTAAACTGGCAAAACGTAAAATACTTAAGTTTTCTCGTGAGATCAGGCTGGTATGAACACATATGGTATAAACACATATAGACCACTTAATGATTGCAGGATGTCTATTGTAGCTCTAAAAATACTTTTCAGGATGTCTGCAGTGTCTTAAAAAGTCTTACATTTTTAAAAAACAAACTTTTGGGCCTTAAAAAGTCTTAAATTCACTGAAATATTGTGTTGTACATTCGTAAATTTGTAATTTTACAGTTTATTGCCAGCTGTTGGGGTGGCAAAAAAAATCTGTAAAATAACGGACGTTAAATTACAGAAATCTACCGGAGAATAACAGATATTAAATTACAGAAATTTCCTTAAATATAAATTTCTGTTAAATGTCTGTAATTTAATCTCTGTTACAGTAAATTTCTGTAATTTAACGGTTGGTATGTTACTTTTTTTCCTGACCTGGATTTTTTTTTACAGTGTGTGTCTTAAATATTTTTGAACAGCTCTTAATTTTCCTCTGTCCAAGTAAAGCTACCTGATTGGGCTGATTTCCATCCAATCACCAATAAACCATCTTAATAAAATCATTCATTCATTTTCTTGTCGGCTTAGTCCCTTTTTTAATCCAGAGTTGTCACAGCAGAATGAACCGCCAACTTATCCAGCACATTTTTACGCAGCGGATGCCCTTCTAGCCGCAACCCATCTCTGGGAAACATCCACACACACTTATTCACACTCATACACTACAGACAATTTAGCCTACCCAATTCACCTGTACTGCATGTCTTTGGATTGTGGAGGAAACTGGAGCACCCGGAGGAAAACCACAATAACGCAGGGAGAACATGCAAACTCGACACATAAACGCCAACTTGGATAGCCGAGGCTCAAACCAGCGACCTTCTTGCTGTGAGGCGACAGTACTACCTACTGTGCCACTGCGTCGCCTAATGTTAAACTTGTCATTTAAAAAAAAAAGAAGTATTATGTTTATAATAATGTTTACAGCTACATTTTTTTGACACATTAAAGTAAGTTGCTAAGAAATAATTCCATTAGCTTTTTTTTTTTTTTTTGGCAAACAGGGCCATTAGAAATAATCAATAGTTTATCTCTGTAAAAGTCTAAAATTTCATTCATAATGGTCTAAAATAGTCTTCAAATTTAGTTGAAATTGCAGAAACCCTGCGTCACGATCACCAACCATCTAACAACCAAAGATCGCTGGTAAACACTCACATTCACATAAACTACAATTCTGCTATGTTATGGACTACATATTCAGTCATGCAACGCACACAAACACACCTGCTCCAAGTCACCAGTAATTGCAAACACTCACACAGCTGAAGCTGCTTACAGACTGATTACTTGGACAATAAGAACAGCACAAACACACACAACATTGCTGAGTCCTGTTATCTGTTTAGTGACATTACAACGTGTTACCTTTGTCTTGCTTTGACCCTCGCCTTGTTTGTTTGTTTGTTTGTTTAAGTTGTCAGCTTCCTGCCTTTTGACCATCTGCCTGTTATTTGACTTTGACTCTGGATTCCCTGTATTCATCTGTTTACCCCTGTGTTGACCATTGCTTGTCGGGCCATTGTTTAGTAAACCTGCATTTGGATCCGCACCCCTGTTGTCAGCGTCTCTTCCCAGTTACACCCTGGTTTTGGTCAGATTAATTTGCTGAATGGAGAGAAAACCTAGTTTGCTGAAAATAAGTGTGATTTACCTCACTGTCCACTAAAGCTAATGTTAGCTAGCTACATATTAATTTGCTTAAAGATCCCATGAAATTAAAGTTTTTTAGATGTTACTATCAGTATTGTTAGTTTTTAAGATATCTATAAGCTAGAGTGCTCCAAAACAGTGACATAATTAGTGTTTAAAAGTTGTAATACCGTTTGTCAATTCTGCCTAAATGGGTCAACAGTTTTATTCACGTCACCTCATACTTCAGTTTGTCATCAAATCTTGACCTATCAAATGCTCTCTAATATCTGACATGCCCCGCCCCCTTCAAGTTGTTCTGATTTAATGCACTTGGACTCAACCATGCACGATAAAACAAAACGCTATTGGCTGTTTTTTATAAAGGGGAGGAGCTACACTGTGTCCCACCCTCTCTTCATGTTTCGTTTGAGATTACGTCAAACATTTAATAAAAAATGCACATTTCAAAGCACATCTCAGGACCTTAAAACGTCTTAACTGTTACGTAGGTATAAAATATCTCACTGGTTCAGCCTCAGAGTTGTCGCTGTGGTGATTTAAGCAAGGGCTCTATTTCTTTCCTATTTGTCTGCAGGTTCTCCTTTGAGGTTTTATTATGAGAATGTTAGTTTTTAATATTCAGACAGGTTTATATGAAGAGGTTTAAGCAGTTAATAATCAATATATAACCTGATGATTATGCACAATATTACAGCTGGAACA